GCCATTTGACTTGCCACCATTTGACTTGCTGCCATTTGACTTGCTGCCATTTGACTTGTGGCCATTTGACTTGCTGCCATTTGACCATTTCTTCATTTGACTTGCCATATATGGCAAGCCATGTTGCCATATAAATTTCTGTGAGCCATAAAGTGACAATAATTATTTTTAATTAGGCCCATCAGCAGAGATAGCTTAGCTGTGCCTTTTTTAGACTATTACAGAGATAATTTGTGTTCGGTTAAAATAAAAACACATTATTAAGATTTCTACCTGCAGCCTTTAGAGGAAACAGAACCAGTTTTAAATGATTTTAAAGATAAAACAAAGTCCGGTTTACACTTTAAAGCTTTTGGAGTTTGATCCGAAACTTTATCTTTGCAAATGTCTTATAAAATATCATATTTTTAATTAAAATTTTATGTTTAACAAGAGTGTTGAATTAGGCTGAGTACAGATTTTATTGTCAAGAAAAAAAACAGGTTGAATATTCTGCAAATGTTTTAAAATGCTTTGCTCTTGGATGTAAAGTTTTACTCCAGAAGTTCTGGTTTGGGACGTTTGGTTCTAAAGATCGTTGCGTTTTATGTAAAGTAAAGAACTGAATTTATTCACACAGTTAAAGAGAAAACTCCTGGGATAATTATTAAACTTCAGCTGGAATCGACTCATGCTTGATGGGGTTTGAAACCACTGAAGTTTGTGGCCTGTGTTCGGACGTTAAAGCTCTATCAGTCAACTTTTTATTGTTTTCACATAGGAGCCTTTTCTTGGAGGTTCATCTCTCATCCATCCCACTCTGTTATCTGCAGCCGTACCTTGGCTCCTTCCTTCCCAGCAGCCCCTGGAAGACCTTGCTCTCCGGGTGGTCCTGGAGGTCCGGGGTGTCCTCGCTCACCAACAGGACCGGTCTCTCCGGTGGGTCCCTAAGACGTTGACATCAAACACGTTATAACACAGTTCACAACATCTGCATCAGAAATAATTTAAGTTCTTCCAACTTTATTGATATGTTTTTATAAATTCATGGGATTTGTATTTTGTTAAATTTATAGTTTTTTATATATTGATTCCATTGTTAACATTTATTTATTGTTGCATTTAACAAGACTTATGATAAAAACTGGGGAAAACACTGAATAATTAAATATCTTTGAGGACACAGTTAAAAATAAAACAATATTTCAACATTTATGCACAATGACCCAAATTAATTATGGCTGCATAAAGAATTTCAAAATACAATAACATTAATATATTCCAAATATCATTGCACAGAACTGCTGTTACTTTAAATTTATTTAGGAATACATTTATTCTTTAATAAAAAATGATTATTTTTTTATACCTGAGGACCAACAACGCCCCCTGGGCCTGGTGGACCAGTTTTTCCTTGGAAACCCTGAAAACACAAACAAATAAACTTTAATTAACAACTACTACAACTACTTTTAAAGAAAAATAAACATTTTTTGCTGCAAATTGTTTGTATTTAATAAGTGGTATGGCTTAAAGGGGCTTGATTCACTTCCTGGTCACGTGACTTAAAACAACAGCTGTTTTTTTTAACACAATTAATTTAATCATCCAAGCTATAAGAAAGGAGGTGTGAGTCCCCCTCATGGACTTCAGCGAAGAAGCAGACAATGGATGGATCGTTAAAAACTGTAGCTCCTCCCATCCACAGCGGTGAACGAACACCTGATCTGACGAGGGAACACTTCACTTTTTTAGACCGAGGTCTCGTTCACAAGACGCCTCAGAGTAGGACTGACTCATGTTCTGACAATCTTGATTCATTCAGAAGAGAAATGGAGGCGGAGAAGGGGATCTGAGACAGCCTACCTCTGGTGCACCTCTAAGCGAGGTAGTACCAGACCCACAACTGTCGACATCTAAAAAGCTGGGCCAATTTGAATAATGACAAAGTGATGACGTACACTTTCGATGACAAAGCTGCGAGATTTAAATGTCAAAACACCATAGCTGGAATCATTTCAGAGTAGATTATTTTTTTTTTTTTCACTTTTCAATCACTCTAACAAGCTTTTTAGTTTTAATTCTTTAAATATATTTGTGGTTCCCAACTGTGGTCCCTGAGGAACACCATCCTGCATGTTTTAATTGTTCCCCTGGTCCAACACACCTGATACAGAAATTTAATGACTTCCTTGGTTTCTGCAGAAGCCTGTCCATTCAAATCAGGTGTGGCAAAGCAGGAAACAACCAAAACATGCAGGATGGTGTTCCTCAAGGACCAGTGTTGGGAACCACTGTTTTTAAACAACAGCTAACTGGGGTTATTCCGAGGCCCGTGTGTCCAACATAAACTGCTGTAAGTTCATTTAATATAAACATCTTTAGCCATATTTTCAGAAACGTTTCAAGTAAAATAAAGACATCTGTCCCACATATAGCTCGCAGAGCAACACGTAAGAGCAGCTGAGTTTTTCTCTACGCCTCTTTTGGTTCCGCTCTGCTCGCTGTACTTTGAAAGATCACTGAATTCAGCTTCCTCAGTGATTTATGAACAGCTCGATAGAGTTTAAAGGTGGACTGGTCTGTGTGGTTGTTTCAGGGAACTGTTGTGAATGAAGCTTCAGTTTTTTACAGAACCAGTTTAGTATCGACCGGGATTGATCTCTTCCAGTTCCATGACACCTGAAGTTAACTGGACTTGAAACATATCATCTCCCCAATCAGAGGAGGCTCTGGAGAGCTGGTCCTGGCTCTGGTGCAGCATGTCTTCAGGCGTATCGATCACTCTGTAATTCACGGGGATGTTTTATTCAGTGCATCTCCTTCGAGCCACGCTGTTGCGGCATCCGCAACAAGACGAGACACTGGCATCATATCTCAATTTGCACTTCCTCCAATTCAACTCGTGGTGCTGGAATCGGCCGCCTCTCAGCATCTTTATGGCCATGATCACATCGGCGGCTCATATTGTTGGTTCATCAACACATAAATCTGCAGCCTGATGAAGATCGGCGCCGCTGCCTGAAGCTCAGCAGAGGCAGCGCGGCCGTCGTGTCTCACATTATCCATAAGACAGAGGCAGGTGGAAGGGAAAGCTTTAATAATGAAGTTGATGATCTGTCAGGATCGTGGCTGAATTTACAGCCCTCTGAGGATCATCGAGCCCAGACTCACCGATGCATACTGAGTGAGGAGGGACTGAAGCGGCGAGCCGGGGACCGCAGCAACAAATCATACACTTTTCTTTCTGTTCTGTGCTGCATCGGTGCGTCTCCACTTCAGACACTTTTTAACAGGATCACATACTTTGTAGGCATGCAATCTTTGGAAATGACCAGACCCAACCAGTGTGGATGGACAATCGTCTCAGAGATTTGTCTTGTAGTCTTTGAGAGTCGACTCCCCCTCTGCCATGTAATGTTTTACCTCTGAGTATTAACCTGAGCAACACAAGTCAACTGACTGAACAGAAGTGATAGGGAGTGTCTAGTCGTCTGCAGTTTAGAGGCAGGTGAGCAAACGAGAGTTAAAAAAACTCAGACAATCGTATGGGATTCAACGGCGTCCAACAGGTGCCACGAGTCAAACCCCCACTGAAGCTAGATAACGTCTACACAATCCATCCAGCATGTGTCCAACAAACAGAAAACATCCGCCTCACGCAGTGACACAACCCCAGAACTGAAGAAGTTGGACCGTTGTGGAAAATGTAAATAAAAACAGAATGCATATCTTATAAACCCATAACTTTTTAACTATGGAGCATAGTAAACAAATCACATGCTTAAACTAAGAAATTGTACTTTTAATGGAAAAATGAAGTAGTTTTGAATTGAATGACAGCAACGCGTCTCTTTAAAGTTGTTCCAGGTCCACGTTTCGCACTGAGAAGCATCCCCTCTTCTTTTAACAACAGTCTGTAAACATCCAGGACCAGAGGAGACCAGGTCTTGGAGGTTCTGGTGGAAATGTGTATCGTTTTAATCAAAGAAAGTTGAGCCGTTTGGGCTATAGGAACCATCAAAGTAAAACAGATTAAAAAACTACATTCAACATCTGATTCATAAACTTATGGGGTGATGATACTGAGTATTTAAGGTTAGTTGGTTCCTTAGTTCCATCCACACTGAAAACAAAACTAAACGCAACACCTCCCTCACAACTATTTCAACTCCTGGCACATGTTGGGCTCCGTACACTGAAACAAGAACACGCATCAATCCACAATCAGTTCTTACCGTCTCTCCACGTTGACCAGGGTGTCCGGGCAGCCCGTCCTTCCCAGGTGGTCCCTGTCACAAGGTACACTCACTCAGTAACTCCTACATCCACTTTTATTACAACCATTTATAAATATCAGTGGAACAAAAGACATTATGTTCTGAACCGTAAAGGTTTAACCCCCTGCTACGAGTTAAATGTGGCGTTCAGGAGGAAAAGTCCCAGTCAGAAGTCAGAGTAAAGAAAAGCAAATACAACAAGATAAGTTACATTTCCTGCTAAAATGCAGTGTGAATGCTGATTGCAGAAGAACTTACTTAAAAACAGCTGAAATTAACTAAAACATTCTGAAATGTAGCTGAAATGAAATAACAGGCCCAAGTTAGCAGAAGAAAGCGGAAAGAACACATATTTCTTGAATTAGGTTTAAATAAGCAATTAGGAAATCAGCTAAAAAGGTTAAAATTAGCAAAAAAAAGAAATCTAAAAAGTAGCCAAAAAGTCAGAAAGAAGCTTAACTTACGAAGTGGAAAGAGCTGAAATGAGCTAAAAAATGTTGAATTAGCTGAAAAAGCTCAAATTTGCTTACAAACAACTAAAGAGTGGCTGAAACAACAAGCTGAAATTAGTAGAAAAAAGTTAATTAGGCTGAAAGTAGCAGGAATTTATCTGAAAACAGCTGAACATAGCTAAAAATACTTTAAAAGGTAGCTGAAAAAGTAAAACAAGCTTAAATTAGTAGAAGAAAACAGAAAGAACACATTTTGCCATTTAGGCTTTATGAATAGGAAATTAGTGCAAAAAGTGGAAATTAGCTGAAAAAACTAAAATTAACAACAACAACAACAAAAAGGCTGAAAAATAGCTACAAAACAGAAAGAAGCTGAAATTACTAGAAATAAATGGACAGAGCACAATTTTGCTGAATTAGGCTGAAAAAAGTAGAAATTAGTGCCAAAATTAGCTGAAAAAGCTAAAATTAGCATAAAACAGCTATATAGTAGCTGAAATAGTAGAAAAAGCTGAAACTTGCAAAATATGCTGAATAGAGCATATCAAGCTGACATTAGCAGAAAGAAGTTAGAAGAAGCACAAAAATGTTGTAGTTAGTAGAAAGAATCTGAAAAGAGCACAAAACAGACGAAATTAGCTGAAAGTAGCTGAAAAATGTTAACATTTGCAGGCGGAACCTAAAAGAAGCTGAAGCAGAACAAAATGTGAAAGGAGCAGTGAAAGGTTGTAAACAGATCTACAGTAAATATTTGAAAGATGTAAAATGAGCTCAATTTATTTTCTGTGAGAAAAAAAAAGTGGCAGAAAAGGCTAAATATTTCAAAAAGCTAAAGTTGCACCAATATCAAAAGTGATGGTGAAAGAGCTGAACATTTTGATTTATGAATTGTTGAAATAGTTGAAAACTGCAGGACGAGAACCGCGTTGAAAAACGTCCGGATGAAAAATGGATCACAATCGAGTGAGCGCTTCATAAACGTTCTATCAGTTTATTTGTTTGGAGAAAAGACAATCAGTGAGAGACACTTATGAATCTAATGCGAATCAAAAGATGGAAATGACTTCCTGCATGGACTGGAGTGTAAAACGATGTATATGAGTCAATAACAAACCAATAATCTGAGACGTTATTCTCCGTTTGACTTAAAACTAGATTAATTTGTTATTCCAGCAGCAGGAAGAGGAAGAAACGTAGAGTTTAGACACAGAGTCTGAACAGAAGCTGCAGCGCAATGGGCAAAACGAAACACTTACTGGGGGGCCCTTTGGTCCAGGGAAGCCCACTGGTCCCTGTGGTCCTTGGGGTCCCTGCAATCAGCAAACAGTAAGTCATGAACTTGTAAAAACCAAAAACAATGACGTTATAACCACGGTTACTATGATACATAACAAACATGACGAGTTTTGAATCTGTTCAATGTTATCACTCGTTCTATTGAAAAATAAAAATCCAGCCTCGAACAAACTGCGGCAAAATATGAGCCGTCTTAAAAAATACATCTTGAACCACAAGTGGCAGAACTTTATGGTGCCTTTTTATTTATTTACAGCACATTATGTACAAAAACTAATTTTGAAATCAGAGGAAGTACAGCACTGTCCTACTGGAGCTCCTGTAATCCATATTCATGTTTCTTCACTAAATAAGTTTGTCTTCTAATGAAAGAGAATCATAAAACGTCCCTCTGAGGCTCTGAAGGACACAGAGCAACGTACAGACTGTCACCATGCAGCCTCGTGTAATGGTGGGATTATAATTTGGTGGTTTTAGGCTGCGCACTCTTCATGTTTGAAGAGAAAACCAAGCGATTAAAAATTAATTGGTAAAAGAAAGTAGACCCTGTATGAAACCAGCAGTAAGAGTCTGGAAAAAGAGGATGATGATGATATTTCATCATTAAAATCCACTCCGGTTTCAACCAGCTCAGACGCTATAGGATCCCATCTTGTGTTAAAAACAGATTTTAGGCCGGTGTCCAATCCTGGTCGTCGAGGGCCAATCCTGCATGTTTTACCTGTTTCCCTGCTACAACACACCTGATTCAAAGATTGGATCCCCTCCTCATGTGCTGCAGAATTATATGAATCACCCACTGATTCATATAATTATATAAAACGTGCAGGTTAGTGGCCCTCGAGGGCCAGGATTACTCCCCCATGACAGAACGGGGCTGGATTGCAGCACAGTTGTGTAGTTATAATGCAGCAATTGTTTAAGTGCTCACTAACAGGATTTCCATTTTTTTAAATGTTTTGTGCTAATTAATATTAAAGCTAAGTGCTAATTTGATAAATGCAAATCAATTTTGTGCTGATTAACTGAGTTTTTCTTCTTCTGTGGGTTTTCACTTCATTTCTTTGTTTCAGGGGAAAAAACCGGACGCCGTAAACCCAACAGAACCTGATGTGAAACGTTTTAAACGGGAAGCTGCTGCTAAGAGACTTTCATTGTGCAGCAGCCACATTTTGTTTCCCGTCGTCACAGAAATGCTCTTTATCATAACGTCAGGTTTAAAATAGAGCGATCAGAAACGCAGAAAGGATGCGAGAGCTGCTGTTTCATGGACTTACTCTCTCGCCGGGCGGGCCTGGAGGACCATCGTTTCCTGCTGTGCCCTGAAACACACAGCGACAAATGAGAACTGTATCTGACACAAGCCGCACAGGATTACATCAGACATGGAGGATAGAGCTCAGCAGAAGAATAAACTGAACCCGGTTTTGTTGGACAGGTGTCCTCACCTTTGGACCAGATTTTCCTGTCGGGCCTCTGGCTCCTCGAGCACCACGAGGACCCTAAAAACAAAGCAACCAAGTTGAACTCGTGCTGAGTGATGCACACGAATGTGTTGTCGGAGTTAAGAACAAGTCAAATGGTGCTAGTGGGAACGGGACAGACCGTTGGACCTCTTTGTCCTCTTGGTCCAGCTTTCCCAGCAATGCCCTGTTAGAAAAGACAAAGACAAACAAGTCAGTCACACACACCTGCTTTAACTCGTCTTATACAAGAAGAACAAACTGTAGTGCTTAAAGAAAAGTTTGCTCCTGCCTCTAAAACACAAACTTAAAAAAATAAAAAAAATGAATATGTAAATAATTTGTTTAAAAAAATCTTTGGCGCATTGAAAATATGTAAATCTTTTAAAATCAGAACTACTTTTTTCGGCTGTACCTACTTCAGGAGTTCTTCTGTCCTCACTCCACCTCCCGGTCCTCTTTATCCTCTTGGCTACATTTCTAACATCCTTCTACCAGTATACCCACTGTCCCTCCTCTTGACATGTCCAGACCATCTCAGTCTGGTCTCTCTAACTTTATCTGCCAGATGTTCAACCTGTGCTGTACCTCTGATGATCTCATTCCTGATCTTATCCATCCTTGTTACTCCTAAGAAGAACCTCAACATCTTCATTTCTGCCACTTCCAGTTCTGTCTCCTGTCTTTTTGTCCATGTCTCTGTCTCCAGACCATACAACATAGCTGGTATCTCCACTGTCTTGTAAAAATTTTTTTCGACCTTTGCTGACACCTTTTGTCACAAATGAGAATAAAAATAACCCCCATGTTTCTGTTCAGCACTATAGCTACACAAATGAACGGTTGTGCCATGTATCTCTACATCTATAAGCAGTGATAGAAAAAGGGTTGTAAGTTCAATCATCCAGGTAGATAACAACAAAAAAGATTAAATTGTGTCATCTGGACCAGTTTCTTTAAGTGATAAACTGGTCACACTTAAAGAAACTGGCCTAGATGACACAATTTAACCTATTTTGTTACAAGCAGGGATGACTTCATGAGTTTTTTTTTAAATAAATAAAATTATTTCAAGTAGAGGTAAAATTCACACCATCCTTCCTACTATTGCCTCCGATTCACAGTCAGACGAGGCAGCTTTAGAAATATTACTAAAACCTGATGAACCTGAACAGTGGACCAGATCTTTACTATGGAGACTGTGACAAAATGAAGGTTCAACACAATCTGCTGGCTTCCTTAGATAGACAACTTTTATTTATTGGCTATTTTTATGTATGTGAATTATTTTGTACAGCGCCTTGAGACTACATCTGTTGTGACATGGTGCTATATGAATAAACAGAATTAAAATTGCTCCTGAAACTTTTCTCCAACCACTTTATCTTGCCTGGACTTTCTTTTTCACCTGTTTACCACACTCCCCAGTTTCCTGGACAGTGGACTCTATGTCCTTGAAGTCCTGTACCTTTGTGACCTCTGCTCTTGTAGCCTCACTGTTCCACCGGCCTCCCTCTCATTCCCACACATGTACCCTGTCTTACTACGGCTGACTTTCATTCCTCTTCTTTCAAGTGCATACTTCCACCTCTCCAGGCTCTCTTCCACCTGTTCCCTGTTCTCACCACAGATCACAATGCCATCTGCAAACATAGTCCACGGGGATGCCTGACTTCATTTGTTTTTAATCTAGAACTATTTCTGCTAAAAGCCCAGACAGTCTGTAAACCAGTTTTCTGAAGTAATAAACTGTTTTTGAATCGTGAAGAAGTGGCTGAACAGATCAGGGAGGTGATGCGAGGCTCCAGAGCACCGAAGGATTTCGAAACAAAGTCGTAACATATCATGTATGTCCTGCGTTCTTTTGAAGAGGTTGGAGTTTCACTACACGACACCTTCAAAACGTAGCCACTTCCCCTGAACTATTACAAATTATTTTACCGTGCTGCAATTTTACGTAACGGAAAAAACGGAAATAAAGCAGAACTAGAAGAAGTGGAAGAAAAATAATCTATAATTTTCCATGGATGGAGTGAGCAATTTGCTTTAAACTTCAGTAACTTTATTCCCTGACCTGTCTGACGCGTTCGTCTTCAGGATGAACAGCTTGATTCATACATCCAACTGGACTCTGTTTATTAATTAAGTGACTTGTGAAGACATGTTGGGTTTTAGTTTGGCGTATCAGAGTAAAAAGGGCGGAACACAAACACACGTCACATTTTCAGGTCTCTCTAGTAAATGAGTCCTCGTGATTCAATGGGATTAACCCGTATAAATAAAGGTTGAATGAAAATAGATGTTTCTTTATAAAAATGTGAAAATCCCTTCAGCTTCACAATTATTTCTACATTGTGTTCGTCTACCACATAAGACCCCAGTGACGTACTGTTTAAAGTGAAAATGTGGAGAAGCTCAAGGAGAATTAATACTTTCTAAAGGCAGATAGTCTCTAAACAGGCCGTCTAAGAGGGATTTGTCTCTGTAATCCTGTCTGCGTAAATGTCAAACATGTCAATGAAGCATCAAAATGTTTCGTCATCTTGTAAAACGACAGCATATTAGGACTCCTTTTAAGTAATATTAGGATAAAAAGGTGATCTTATAGACATCCTGTTGCTGTGGAAAGCAACATTAATACGAAGCAGACAGTAGAAACAGCGAACCGATGGAAATAATGTTTTCTCAGCATGTCTCAAACTGCGAGTGCTGTTTTGTTTTTTTTAAAGTCTGGTGGAATCGAAGCACAAAAACTTCCACATCAATTGTTTTTCTGCTAAATCACCACCTGTAAAATAGGTCTTTACTCTGTGTATGCAAGCATTGTGTGCTTTTCTTACTCTTGCTCCTTTCTCTCCATTGGCTCCAGGGAAGCCAGGGAATCCACTTGAGCCCTGCCAACAGGAGGAGATCGTATCGTGGGTTAATCTTTACGCAACGATAAAGGCTCATGTTGTATTTCTTTTCAGTGGCGATGAACATTATCACCTCTGCAGTTTCATTTTCTTCCTTCTGTCTGGTACTGCATATATTTTTGGTTGGTGAGCATGTCAAATTGATGACATTCATGATACTGACAATTTGTTGCCCTTTAATCCTTTATGTTGTTCTTTTAATAAAAAAGTGTGAACTTTAGCTGTGATGACTTATACGTTTGCTGATGACATAAAATCTGTGTTTTATTATTACCTCGTGAGGAAAAGATTAAAGCAACGGCTTACCTAATCTGCAGAAAACCATCACATGATGCATGGGAGACATTTAATAAAATTAAATCAATGAAAAATACAAAACTTCTATGAACTTCACTTTTTCTACACATCACTAATGTGTTGCTGGATGGATGGATGGATGGATGGATGGATGGACGGATGAATGGATGGATGGATGAGTCAATGGATGGATGGACAGACAGACAGACAGATGGTTGGAAGAATGGTTGGATGGATGGATGGATGGATGGATGGATGAATGGATGGACAGTCATATGAATGGATGGATAGATGGATGGATGAATGGATGATGGACAGATGGATGGATGGATGGATGGATGGATGGATGGATGGATGATGGATGGACAGTCATATGAATGGATGGATACATGTATGGATGATGGATGGATGGATGGATGGATGGATGGATGGATGGATGGTTGGTTGAATGGACAAACAGATAGATAGACATAAGGACAAATGGATGGATGGATGGATGGACAGATTGACGGATGAATGGATGGATGGATGGATGGATGATGGGTGGATGGTTGGATGGACGAACAGAAGAATGCTTGGATGGAGGAATGGACAGATAGATGGAAGGATGGATGGATGACAAATGGACAGATGGATTGAAGAATGGATGATAGATGGATGGATAGATGGGTGGATGAATGGACAAATGGATAGATGGAAGGACAGATGGATGGAAGAATGGATGGATGGATGGACAGATGGATGGACAGAAGAATGGATGGATGGCTGGATGGATGGATGAATACATGAAGCTTTCTTTCTTTTTAAAAAACACTAACATTTGTATTAATCTTGACATTTTCTTGACAAAATCAAGTCAAATCTCGTCTGCACTGTCACCACCAGACAACTTTGATGTTTTTACAGGTAGAACGTCCATCTTTGTCCTAAAAACACAGACACGTACCTTTGGTCCTTGTCTTCCAGGGTATCCTGGCAATCCTGGAACTCCCAGTTTACCCTGACAGACATCAACAGCCCGGGTCAGAACAAACCACGGTGAAACACATCACAGTAAGTTGTATCAAAATAAGTCAAGCTCCGTTACTTTCTCTCCGGCTGGACCAAGGGGTCCGGACTCTCCATTGGGACCAGCTCTACCTTTAGGCCCCTCCGGTCCGTCCTCTCCTCGGGGTCCATGCATGCCAATTTCACCCTGCAATCCAAAGACAAAAGAAATCCCAATTATACTTGAATTGATCTAAAGAAGTAAACAAATCCAAAGCAAGTGTGAAACAATGTTTGTCTTCGAGATGCTCACCCGGTCACCTTTAATCCCCATGTCCCCTTTGAAACCTGGGAAACCATCCTCGCCCTGAAAGAAGAAACATCATTTCTTCACCATTTCATTTAAAATATCAAATAATCCTTCGTGAAAAGAAGTTAAAGTGTTTATCATTTTTAATGTTCTCTTTCTGAGCTGATAAAAACTCAAGTGTTTTGCACATCCCGGGAACAGTGCTGCCATCTGCTGGCCAAAAGTCAGAACAGCACAACAATTTAAATATTAAGAGGCTGAATTTAAAGGAAACTCAGGATTCTGGGTATATTCTTCCGACTGGTGAACTCTGAGGGATGCTGCTCCTCACTTTGACACCTTATCATCCCAGTATATGCTTTGTCTGACGCTTTGACACCAGCTGATGCATAATGCAGCACAAAGCGTGTTTGTTGCCACCAAGTTACATCCTGAATAACCACCACACATCTCAAGTAAAACACATCCTTTATTCAGAGCAAAAGAACCTTTCCTCAAGGCCTGCATTTTCTCCTGCCATGAATAATTCAGCACAAACAACACATATACCCATCACTGCAGCACCTTGCTTTCAGTATCGATCTTACATTAGAACCCTGCGTATTTAAGCTAGTTTAAATTCTCTGTTGTGTGACACACAGTGAAGACTTCACAGGTGATATAAAGCGACTGCAGTGTTTCCTTGGACCAGAGGTCTTGAGCGGGACAACTTTACATCCAACACTGACCATCAACTCGGCCCAGTCTGGTGTTTAACCTGCACCCGACGTCCATTCCAGCACAGAAGAGTCCAAACAAAGCAGGCAGGGCCAGAGATTCAGACAGAAGACCTGTGACATGAATTCATTTACCGGCAGTTCTCAAACCTTTTATGCGTTTCCTGTTTTTATTTTAACCGCAGAGAGATGTTTAGATCAACACCGTCCCATCTGTTTTTTTAATAAATCCAAAGGAAAAAGTTGAGTTTAACAGCCTGAAACTATCCCATTAAATGTTTTAATTTTCTAAAAGGACAGTAAAAAGCCAGAACATTTATATATTTACTCTGAAACAAACTACACAAGAGTACTGCATACGGCACATTCTACGCCCGTCAATAAACTATTATTCAGCAACAGAGTAATCTACAGCAATATCCCGAAAAGCAAAGACATTTGACCTTAAATTATGACCTTGCCCTTAAAGCTGGGATGAGTATAAGAATGTGTGTCACGCTGTTTAGTGGTCGTGCGAATGTGTAAGAAGTATCGTCAAATTATATTGAATTGATTAGAAGTTATGGTCTGGACAAGCAAAGACCTCGCTTTAACGTTGACCTTGGTATGCTACCTTGACCTTGGAGCTGAAGTGATAAAACGTGTACACGATACGCCCTCTAGTTATGATACATCTGTGTATTGAGTTTTGCTAAATGATCTGGATCAGTCATTATGGATGGAACAAGAGAAAGTTTGCGGACGGAGGCTATACGATAATACGTCCATCTTTGAATTGGTATAAAAAAAAGTAGCGTAAAACGAGAAAGACATGCAGGGCTTAAAGCCTGCAGCTGTTTTTAGCACATCGTCCTTGCCTTGCTTGCCTGTAAGAAACTAGCACCTCTTTATGTACCTGATCCTTTCTCATGTTGCAGCAGATTTATTGGTCACGTTGACAAATTCTGTATTGAAACATCACATTTACCGAACACCATGATAAGTAAAGGTTTTCAACAGAGACACAACAATGATGTATCTCGCTCTAGCGCTCTAGCGCTCTGCCTGCACTGCCTCGGTGTTGTCTAGTTTGAACTGCGTATCAGTGGGATAGTCCTTTGTGTTCTTGTCAGATAAAAGTGACACTGTTCTCCTACTAACGCCACAACGTCGACAGTTTACGAAGCGTGGACTTCAGCAACGCCAAGCTGATTTGCTGTTCGTGCCAATTAACTCTGTAGCAACATTGAAGTCACAGAGTCCATAACAGTGAAAAGTTATGTAGCAACGATCAAACTATCCTGTAACATAATCTCATGCAGTGCTATGCTAATGTTCTGTGTACACTGCCTGTTTTATGGCATTCTTGTAAGGGTTTAATGCTAGTAGTCTTTGCCAATCCTTGTCTTTTTTATTTTGAAATGCAATGTTCATATTGCCATGTGGTTTCTTTTGGGTAAATACTGTTATTGGAGTGTTTGAGGTGTTGCAAGAGTACCATCAAGGTGTACAAGAAGATTTTTGTACCTATTGCATACTGTAATCAGTTGGATGATGTGTACCGATATAAGACCAACATTTTCTATTCGTCAGTCATTCCACAACTGCTGTGGTGGGTTTGTTTTGGACTTTAGTTGAAGACAAGCTATCAGACTGAGATCTGTCAGTAGAACAACAAAGACCAATAAAAACTAGACAAAACCCCGGAAGATGAAGGGTGCGACTATGGCGTCTACATTTCAACGGATCAGAGACATGGAAGAACGGTGCTGGTGAACACTCCAGAAATGCCGTAGCGGTGTCACAATTCAACAATAAAACACCACATGTATGAAAACAGGGAACTGGTATGACACAACAGCTACATACAGTAGTTTAACTTTTCTACCCTTGATTGAATGTATACACAGTTTACACAAGAGGAACGCTTCATGACCTTTACAAGAACATTACAGACATCACAAGACTTAGATTTTACAGCTAATAAAATGCATTTAAAAAAAATGGCAACCAACAAAACACAACACAGCATGACCCGTAACTTATTTGGACAGTATTTGAGACAATAACAAGAGCGCACCTTCTCTCCTTTGGATCCTTTCAGACCACGGACACCATCAGCACCCTGTTGGACAGGAACCAGAGATCAGGTATACCTCAGCACAAACCCTGACATTCCTAACAGGTGAGGAACAATAACGATGGTCACTCAATCAAACATGCACACATAAATAAAGCATACCTTGACACCACGAGGGCCGGGATAGCCAATAGGACCTTGGGGACCCGGTGGACCCTAAAGCAAAGATTCAATAGAGTGAATGCAAAGTTTTGTTTAATAATGCTGATGACCTCATCCTGTTTGAACCCTTTGTATTATACTTTTAATAAACCACATTGAAATATATAGTATCAATATCAGTATAGTATCTTGTAGTCCAAAATATAAAAATCTGGCAGAGGGAACAGGTTTTAGCGCTAATGATATAAATGTATTTTAGTATATGAAAGAAAAAAATACTAAGGGTGTGATGGTACACACAATTCTGTATGTTGGTTTTTGGGGTGATTGTTTGGTACAACAGGAAAAAAAAAAAGAAGCAAATGTTAATACTAGTTGTTTCTGGTAATTTCACTGGAAAATAATCAAATAAATAATATTTGTCTGTTTAATTAGTCCAGTTGGATCTGTCAGGATGCCATACACTGAAAAAGATCCTTCTTTTGTAGAGAAAACTGTCAAAACGAAGTGCGTGTTTTAGTTGATTTAACCTAAATTGATGTAAATAAAAAGGAGGTCCAGTTGCAGGTGTTGGTGATGATCCTCTGAATAGACGTTAAACATGTGGTGCTTAATAAACAGCTGGCAACATATTTAACCAGGTTTATTAGAGCAGTGGTTCCCAACCCTGGAACACCACCCTGCATGTTTTAATTGTTTCCCTGACATGACACACTTGAAGTGGTGCTTAACAGGCTTTGGTAGAACTCGAAGTAATAAAATCACTGAATCAGGTGAGTTGGAGCAGGGAAACAACTAAAAGATGAAGGGTGGCATTCCTCAAGGACTATGTTTGGGAACCACTGTATTAGAGATCAGAGGGTGCACCAATGTGGGTGAATCATGACCCATTGGGTTTTCCATACAGCCGCCTCTCATAATCCACCTCAAGATCTTCTTGCTTTGTTTTGTCGGAGAGTGCTTTAGAGAAGTCCTTTTCTGTTGAGGCCGTTTACGAAAAACAAATAAAACAACACGATGAGTGTTGATTTCCTGACTGTTCACACCCGACCCAAACATTTGAGCCAGGTCAGTACAAATACATGTTCCGTTACACGCCTGATGGATACCGTAGTCCGCTCATGCTGAAAAGAACACCGGACTAAAGCATTCCTTTGTTTATGTCAAGCTTGTTTGCTGTAAATTGAAATCTTAGTTTTACTTCTTAATCATAAACAGTGTTTCCCCTAATTAACTGTAATTGCCTTGGCAGGGTGCTCATATCGGTTGACGGGGGGGTGTAGATGGAGACACGTTTGTGTTGGGCAACAGTTTTCGAGAGGGGCGGGGAGAAGACAGTGGGAAAGACAACTCAACGTGAGGGAAACAGCGCAGCTGGCACATCTGTATCGCGTGCCGCTAGCTTAGCATCTAGCAGTTGTCGACGGCGGGGTGTGGGGGAATTGGGTAAGCAGGGCGCTCGGTTCTGTTGACAGGACGGGGCGCCCTGCTTGTGTAACGGAAGGGGAAACACTGATGCAATATGGAACATTTTCGGACTCTAAAATTCTGTTCAAAGTACTCTAAAAGCTTAAAATAAAATTAAACATACAGTGTCTCTTTCTGATTTTTGTTTAGATTAAAAGCAACAGGTTTTGGTTCTGGCAGCACGGTGGCTCAGTTGGTGGATCTGCTGCCTCTCAACGAGGCCACCGGATCGAATCCCAGCTGGGGGCCTTTCTGGGTGGAGTTTGCATGTTCTCTCTGTGCATGCGTGGGTTTTCTCCGGGTACTCCAGTTTCCTCCCACAAACCAAAAACATGCATGTTAGTCTGACTGATAACTCTAAATTGTCTCTAGGTGTGAGTGACTGTTTTTTTTTTTTTTTGTCTCATGTGTCCCTGTGATGGTCTGGAGACCTGTCCAGGGTGTCCCACACCTCTCGCACAGTGATTGCTGGATATGGACACCAGTGACCCCCGTGACCCGAAGATAATGGTTGGACATTTTGGTTATTTTGTCCTGTTTTTATGAATGCGTTGCCAGGTAAAACACCTACCTGTGCACCTTTCTCTCCAGCTGGACCCTCCTTACCAGGATGACCCTGCGGGAGGAAAAACATGCCAGATAAAAGTTCAGCTTCATCACTAACGAGTGGCCTTTGCTCTCTGTTAATCTGTGAATAACACAAAAGGGATAGTTCCACTAATTCAGACCAAAAAACCTGTTTACTAAAGTAAAACTAGCAGCATCTTGGACGTGTTCATTAGGAGTTTTTCACCTGTGAACACCTGGCGTTTGTAACATGTGACACTGAGGTGGCAGTGAATCAGAACATTATCTGACCCCAGGTCAGCTGAGAGCCTGGAATTGACTGGAAGTCATGGATTACATGATCAGAATATCTCTTTAATTCATGAATCATGAGGGAATGTTTATGAATGAATGAATATGATCAAAGGTACAGAAAGACTATCAAGGAAGGAAAGAAGGAAACCATAAAATTGCATAAAGAACAGAAAGAAAAAAGAAAGATGGCGTGAAGGAGAAAGGAAAAAAAGAAAAAGAAAAAGAGGAAATTCAGGAAGGAATGAAAAAGTTAAGAAGGAAGGAGGAACCAAGAAAAAATGAAATAAGGAAGTAAGAAAAAAGCAGGAAGGACGAAGAAATAAAAAAGAAATAGAAGGAAGGAAAATGTAAAGAAGGATGGAAAAATAAAAAGGAAGAAATGAGGGAATGAAAAAGGAAGTAATGAAAACAGAGGGAACAATAAAAATGATGTAGGAAGGAAGGGAAGAAGGAGGAAAAGAAAAATAAAGAATAGAAGAAAATAAATTTAAAACAGGAGAGAAGGAAGGAAGGAAACCTAAAAAGGAAAAAGAGGGAATAAAAAAGGAGGAAAAAAAGGGATAGAGAAAGGAAGAAATTAAAAAAGAAAGGACAAAAGGAAGGAGGAGAAAGAAAGAGGGAAAGTACTAAAAGAAAAAGAAAAGAGAGAAGCTTCAGCAGTGACGAGACGCTCAGACTCACCGGGGGCCCGTCAGCTCCAGGTAATCCAGGTAACCCCGACCTGCCCAGAGGTCCCTGAGAGACAGAAACACGTCAGCGAGGTCAGAGGTCACCGCAACAGAACCAAACAGGAAGTGACACGTTGGTGTCAACAAAAAATAAATAAATAAAAAATTTAAGAAAAGGAGCTCACTTTTTCTCCCGGTGGTCCGATCGGACCTTGAGGACCAGGAAGACCCTGTGAAGAAAGACAATGAGCATCTGTCGCCATGGCAACCACAAACCCCGCCTTGATGTCACATAAAGATGTCGTGGTGTGTTTGTGGATGGGTTTCCATGCAGGATTTCTAAGTGCGCGTTAATTTATTGTAGAAAATGAGTGAGAAGTTAAAAATTAAAGAATAAATCTGACCTCTGAGGTCAACTCAAACATAAATCAGGAGCTTATTTATTTTTTTTTTTTACATCATCATAAAAAACAATAACACCGCTGTTCACCTGAGTTCCTGGGATTCCCTGCTGACCCGGTGGGCCGGGCTCTCCTTGAGGTCCCTGAGACGAGACAAACATGAGCTTCAGTCTAAACAGAACCTGGTTTCAGTCAGCAGGACTCAGAGTTCTACTTTAATGGTGTAAAAATGACCTTTTTCTTAACAAATCTTGTAAAATTGAGACAAATAGACGTAAAAACAAACTGAGACAAATCGTTCTGTGTTCTGACGTTGAATCATGAAGCTGATTAAAGCTGGACTCTTCACCAATGAAGGTGCTAACTGAACTAAATGGAGCCCCGAGCTGTAAAACTGCAATGTGAGCTGAACTCACATGCAAATCCTTCTCCCTTCCCTCCCTCCAGACGGTTGTGAGCATCTTGTTGCAGATACTAAAATTTGGATCTCTGAAATATTCAGGAAACTCCTCGGAAAACAAAACAGAAAGCTCGGTCGCCTTTTTAACACTTGTCTCGGATGACTGAGGATCTGCACTAAACATACGGCTACTTATAGAATTTATTTATTTTTACACTTTTTCAAAGTATGTACCTTTATTTACATTTTTCTCCTCAAAAATGAATGAACAAATATTTGAAAATCTTTCAAATCTACTTCAGAATACTTGATTCATTTTTAGCTTTTAGCTGCTTTTTTGCTAATATCAGGTAGTTTTCAGCTTTTCTTATTTTAGCTTTTATTTTGCTAGTTTTAACTTTAGTTTTGATTGCTTTTAGCTTAATTAGCCTATTTCAGCTGAGTCGATGTCATCTCTCATGCTGCATTTTTGCTGGGAATCTGCAAGTAAAATACAAAATTTAGTTTAATTCTGCAACAATTGAAACATTTGGCTACTTCTAGACATTACTTATTTTGACACCTTTTTAAAGTATATACCTTTATTTACATTTTTATCCTCAGAAATGAACAAACTCTTCAAATATTTGAAAATCTTTCACATCTACTTCAGCTTACTTGATTCATTTTTAGCTTTTAGCTGCTATTCTGCTAATATCAGGTAGTTTTCAGCTTTTCTTGTTAGCTTTTAGCTTTTATTTAGCTAGTTTTAACTTTTGCTTTGATTGCTTTTAGCTTATTTAGTCAATTTCAGCCGATTAGATGTAATCCCCCATGCTTCATTTTTGCAAAAACAAGTTTTTCTATTTTTTTTTAAGTCTTGATTAAAACAAAACATTAATAAAACACAGAAAAGCTGAGAATATTTTTCCCGCCAACAACTCTCTTTGTAGCTTTTATTTTGAAGGTTTTGGAGAGACTTCGGACAGTGCAGAACTCTTGCTCCCAGGCATCAGAATAACCTTTGACCTCACATCTGTGCATGCTGAAGGCATTTTGAACACGAGCTGAATATAAAGTCTGCTCAGATCCGTCATGGAGCCGAAGCTTTCCTGGCCTCAGGGATCCGTTCAGACACATTTCAGCTGGTCTGAGAGCAGCTCGGGTTCGTACCATGTTTCCTTTGGGACCGGGAGGTCCGTCGACTCCGGCGACACCCTGAGGAGGAAAGAGCAGCGGAGAATCAGCATTTGTGGTACTAGTTACAGGAAGTGATGTCAGATGTTAGGTGGTGAAGGTCGCGGTACGCACAGGAACTCCAGGGGGTCCAGGAGAGCCGCGGGGTCCCAGCAAACCTCTAGGACCCTATGAAGGAAACAAATGGCATCACTTTTGATCCTCCCAGTCTTTAATTTATGTATAAATCTTTATTATTGTTAAACTCCAACAGGTTTCTATTGTATAATAAAATAAAACATCAAAATAAAAGCCTTACACTCTCTCCAGCCAGTCCTCTGGGCCCGATCTCTCCGTCCTCCCCCTGTGGGAAACAAAACGAGTCAGAGTGACTCCTCTGAACGGACTGTCTTCAGAGCATCATTTGATTTGAACAAATCAAGTAAACCAGAGGGTTAGAATCAGCCGAGTTCAGGAGGAGTGGGTGAGTTAAGCCCAAACTCTCCTCCTCCCTCGGTTTGGTTCTCTCCATCTCCTTCTGCCTGAGCTGGAGGGACTCAGCTGGTCCAGCAGGACTGTCAGAACCTCACCTTCCTCAGGTGAAGCTTCATCAGAAGAAACAAGGAGGACTTACTCTCTGCCCGTCCTCTCCAGGGGCTCCCACAGGTCCCATTGGTCCCACCTCCCCCTGAGGAACACAAACACAGCTTCAGTTCATCTTTAGCTGATTGACTCGTTATGGCTGAAATTGTTCAGATTGGTGAGGTACAACTTTGTTTTGATTCCAACTAATTCTGCACACTTTGAGGTATTTTAGCCTTTTTTTTTATATGAAAGCGTTTGACGCATTCAGGGGATTGATGCTTTGACTTTTCTTTTCAATTGTTTTGTTTAATTTCAAGTATTGTTTTTTCCAAGTATTTATTTATTTATTTATTTTCCTCACTCGCTCTCATGCAAAACGGACACATTTCTTCCCTCTCCCGTCCTCCTCCTGCTTTCTTACTTTTAGCTTTTAATTAGCATTTTGCTGTTTTTAGCTAGCCTTATCTTGTGTATCAGAGCTCCTATTTACACATCTTCCAAAAAGTAAACTTCTGTCATGGATCTGGTCAGCTAGACTTTAAATGCAACTGATAACATTTTGTTCAACAAAGTAACAGGGTCCTGGAGAACCCTCATGCCCCGCTGAGACTCACGCAGCAGGATACGTCATGGATCTGATGTGCCTTTCCATATTGTCTCAGGAGGACGCCGAAGATATTGGAATCATGATATCAGGGTTTCTGCCTTTTGGCACCAATGGATACCTATGCTATCAGCTATTAAAGAAGACGGCGGCAGCAGTTTCGGCCATGGCAAAGCTGCCGACCCTGTCTGAAGGTTTGGTTTGTGCTTCGAGCACTCAAAATCAGCTGATTTACGAGCTAAACCATAAGATGGAAGTGATTTGTGAGAATTGCAGGCCACTTGCAGCTTCTGGGACTCGTCAGAATGTTGGGGACGACCTTGGTAGGAGCTAATAACCATGAACCAGTGGAATGCCAACAAATCTGGCCATTTTGGATTAAAAGTACCATCAGAACTCAAGGCTGACGAGAAATAACAGTCTGCCTGAAAAAAAGCAACAACTGTGGCTTATCTGAATCTGACTCCCCCGGTTGGCCTCGAAGCAGGCCGACTTATCAAATTTCTCCTGGGATATGTGTAAACTAAGAAAGTTCTGTCTATCGCAACCCCCTCTCCCCCCCAGCAAACTTCTGTGAATGCTTATCAGAGTTGTACCGACTGACACCACCGTCTTAACAGGACTATGGTGCTATCTGGAAGTGCTTCATGGACAAATCTCACCGTCTTGTCATCAAATGCAAATGTAATGTGTTTATAAATGTGCTTGCTGGTAGAGTTCTTTGACGTCTTAAATCGTGTCCTGATAAGAACAAGATGTGAAGAGATCTTTTTTGTAATACCACTATCCTCTCCTCATGGCCTTTACCCCTTTTCCTATCTAAAAGAATAATGGGCCGTGCTCTCAGGAGCAGCTGCAACGTGCACTCCGCCCATCTTTCGGATGACTGTGCGAACATAATCTCACTGTATTTCGGTACAATGATAATAAAGCTTATTCTGACTCTTAGTTCATAAAAATCCTCAAAGATCTCTTCAAGTTTTTGAGAACAATCTGCTTCAGCTACTGGCTCAGCATTTGTATTCTTATGCGACTTTTAGCTACTTCCTGGCATTTAACTAGCCATTTGACACCTTTACCTTCTAGCCTTTTGATACTTTTAGCTAGGTTTTTGCTATTTTAGCTTTTAGCTAAGCTTAGCTGTTTTAGCAATCTTTTGGCTACATCAAGTTTTGGATAATGTTTTGCTATTTTAAGCTAGGTTTTTCATACTTTTAGCTTTTAGTAAACATTGAGCCGTTTTTGGCTTTTAGTTAGCCTGCTGGTACTTTTACCTTTGTACTATACTTTTGACATATTTAGCTATGTTTTTGCTGCTTTTAGCTAAGCTTGTGGAATTTCAGCTAGGCTTTTGCTATATTAAGCTTTGGGTATTGTTTTGCTACTTTTGGCTAATGTAAGTTTGTCTTAGCTTTAGCTTTTAGTTAGCATTTTGCTGCAATCAGCTAGCTTTATGCTACATTTAGCGTTCATGGAGACTTTTGCTAATGTAGATTTTTGTTAGCTTTTTACAATATTAAATCTTTAAGGTTTTGTTTTTTTTAGCTGGGTTTTTGCTGATTTTAGCTTTTAGCTAAGCTTTTGCCAATTCAGCTAGCCTTTTGCTACATAAAGCTTTGGATTATGTTTTGCTATTTTTAGTTAGGTTTTTTTTTTTGTTTGGCTTTAAGTAACATTTTGCTGCTTTTAGCTCTAAGCTAGCCTTTTGATACTTTTGCCTTTGAAATACACTTTAGACATTTTGAGCTATATTCTCGCTGCTTTTGCTAAGCTTTTGCCATTTCAGCTCACCTTTTGCTACATTAAGCTTTGGATAACGTCTTGCTACTTTTAGCTAGGTTTTTCTTACTTTTAGCTTTTAATTATCATTTTGCTGTTTTTAGCTAGCCTTATGCTACATTGAGCTTCAATTTAGCCTTTTGCTAATGTAGCAATTTGTTAGCCCATTGCTTCATTAGGCTTTTAGCTAGTGATCGGCTGTTTTGTAACTCAAACAACTTCGTTTCTGCTTCATCCAGCTGTCAGACTTTATTTCCACAGAAAATTCAGATTTTTTTTCCTTTTGGTTTATTTTATTTTATTTTTTAAATTAAAGCCCAGATGAGGAACAAGCAGGAAGAGTTGGTCAAACTGATCTCACTGAACTTTCACCTGTTTTTTCATTAACACAAATCATTTAAAAAAGACCAAAACTCTTTTAGCATTTATAACTAAACAAACTTTTATATTATTACAAACACTCGCTTGTTAAATAATGTTTTAAAGAAGTAAATCTGTACAAGCTAAAACTTTATTCTGCAGAAAATGATTTTTCTTGCGTGGAAACGGTTTCTGTAACAAACTCCAAATCACCGAGAGGAAGTTTTTGTCAAATAAAAGTTTTTATTATTTTTTTTAATTTATTCTCTTAGTGAAATACTTTAAAAGATTTATTATTAAAGCAGGGCTGTTCAACAAAACTGCTCAGGGGGCCACAGTTTCTGAAAGCCAGCAGGTCGGGGGCCAGACAGCCAACAATTAAAGTCATTATGTAAATAAACTAAGTATTATAACAATATGTTACCTTTTATATTTGTTTATTTTATTGCACTGAATCATAAATCCAATAATGAATTCATTGGTGGGCCGGACTGAAGTCACCCGCAGGGCATTTCCGGGCCGCGGGCCGCCAGTTGAATAGCCCTGTAATAAAGTCTGGCCTCATAAAAGATATAATGTAGGAGATCTCTCTGTTTGTGTGTTAGCAAAATATCTCCTGAACCACTTAATTGATTAATGGACACCTCAGACACTAATCAATTCCACAACCTGTTCAATTCAAGATGGCTGCCACAGCTAGCTGACCTTAGCAACCACAGAACAGCTACAACTCAGTCAGTATTTAAGATAACGAGCTAAAGTTTGGCATGTTAGAAGCCAAAAGTCATCCCTAACACATCTGAACATTTGCAGACTTCACAGGATCTTTGCTATTAAATGTTAAAGCTAGATCAGTTTGTGTGTTAGCAAAATATCTCCTGAACCACTGGACATACCTCAGTCAAACTCTCAGTTTAATTCAAGATGGCAGCAACAGCAAACACAAAAATAGATACAGCTAGTTCATTTTGGCAGATGAAGAGCTAAAATGTGACGTGGTAGTAGCTGAGAGTCATCCCTAACAGGATGCAGGAGCTATTCATTAAATTGTAGCATCTAAGGCAACGTAATGTAAATCTTGTTGGGAGGTTTATTTTACAATTGAACTGTTTAAATGGCCGAACGAGCGTTTTTCCTCTCTCTGAGTATCGTGCGCACACAAGCGTGCACGCCATCTCTTGGAACAGTTTGGTTTAAAAACTTTTTTTTTCGGCTGACGTTCACTCACCCTGTGGCCCTTTTCACCGGGCAGCCCGGGGAGCCCGTCGAAGCCTCTGTCACCCTGTGGACAAAGCAGAAGGTGCCATGTTTTCACTACGTCTTCCACTGTGGCTCATCTACATGAAGAGCAGCATTTGTACCTTGGAACCCGGCTCTCCAGGCATCCCTCGAGCTCCATCAGCACCAGCGCGACCCTTAAACGAAAATAAAACTTTAAAAACTTCAGCACATTTACACATATTATAGAAAACCTTAACTCAGAGGACCTAAAAGGGAAGTCACATGTTTCAGATCATTTGTTTTTCTTTATTCTTTATCTTGTATTTTATTAATTTTCAACAAGTTATTTTATTAAATATTTGAATTTTAAAGCTAATATTTATTAATTAATGATACAACAGCTTTAAAAACTATGTATCTAAAAGGAGGTGGCAGATGGGGAACCATAAAGAAACACATTGAAGAGAGATTCAGTAGAAATTTTTTTAACAATAAACATCTTACCTGCTGTAGATACAATAGCTCTAGTTTTATTTTGACCAGAATATTGAGCTAACAGCTCATCCAAACAATACAAGCAGATTTATGCCATTTTAAAACTTGTATATTCAGATTTTTATGAATTTTTCCAAAAGTAAACGGCAGCAGCAGCTAGCTCTAGCACTTCTAGTGGGCACCTTTAGGAAAAATCTCCCAGTATTTCCAGCAAAATAACGAAAAAGTGAAACTGACAGTGGTTTATGGGGAGTGTGGCAAACACATGGCATCACTATGAAGTATAAATAGAGCTTTTAGACAGATTTAAATCAGGTTTTGCAGATTTACCAGCAAGAACATCTAGGCCTGTCACAATAACAAATTTTGCTGGGCGATTAATTGTCTCAGAAATTATTGTAATAAACAATAATATTGTTTGATTGTCAAATTTAAGAAGAAATGTTGGTTATTTTTATTTTGCGTGTAGTACCATTTTTGACCACCGGATGGCAGTATAATACTGTTTGAAGCAAAGGATGGATAGTGAGGAAGCGAGCAGCATTTCTCATTAAGAACAATGGGAGGGAGGCCCCTTGACGTGACATGGGCTGTTTCGCTTCGGTTCTCAAAATGGCGGACGCTCAGTGTGGTTTGAGCTCTTTAGCATAGCATTTTTCACACAAAGCTTTTAATAAAAAAAAACAGCTTCTTTTTGCTGAGAAAAACAACTTTTTTACACGAAGGCACTGGTTTAAACGATGAATTTTGGAGCTTCGACAAGACGGAGGTTTTTTTTCCTGAGGTTGGCCTGTTAGCTTAGCTTGTAGCTTAGCTTCTCAGCTTAGCTGCTTAATGATCCAAAAATGCAATTTTGGATCGTTAAAATGGATTTGAAAGAGAAAGGGAGGGGTCAGTGGAGAGCACCGGAGTTGACCCTTTTGTCGTCCAGTGTCTTCAGTAGAAAGAGAGAGACACGAAGAAACGATAAAGCCGGTAAATGAAAATGAGGTTGATAATTTTCATTTATCGTGCGATTAATTGATTTATCGTGTATCGCGACAGGCCGAAGAACAACAAACTTTTAACAAACATTAAATGCTTCATCGTGTTCAGCACACCAGCGGCGCCCAACCTTCATCACACCAGAATGAGGAAACGGTGACGTTTGTCTTTACTCTTTTCTTTTAGGGTTAGCTTGTAGGTTTGCTAAAATATATTTAAAAAATAAAATCTGATATGAAATGATCTATGGGCCAGTACAGGTGTCTGTCCTCATGGGTGGGGGGGACCCCTACGATCCCTCTGACTGGACAGATTGTCAACGTAACCCTAATGTTCAGGATTTTAGAGTGTGATGTCATCAACCATTCAGTTTAAATGGTAATGAACCAATCTGCTAATCTAATCCAATCTGCTCTGGACTATTGGAGTCCATTAGACTATAGAGGTAAAAACGATTAATCCAACTGGACCGAGTTCCAAAGAGGACCGCTGTCGTCATCTTCTTACAACAGACGTCATAACAGTTCATGCAAATACGGTTTTCATTGTAAGTCACCAGCCTCACGTTACACAAAGTGCTCCAGCTAGCTGCTACTGCTGCTGTTTGAGCTCTAGCTTACATAAATACGTCACGTAGTCAACGCAACATGCTTTATCAACAAAAATCAGCAACAGATTATAAAAACTGGCTGCTTTTGGCAAAAGTGAACAGAAATACTTTTTAGCCCGTTTGCTTTCAAATCGTTCAATTTCTAAATTTACTTTCCGAGAATTTAGTTTTAAAAGAGACGTCCTGATGCTAATGCTACTTTAGCTGTTGTCTTCTGTCTGTGCTGCAGCGTTTTGCGCAGACTAGATGAATAGATGAGTAAAAAACGAACATGTTTAGCCCCCCTGTTCATCATATGTAAGACAGGTAAGATATTAACTGTTCATGGTGTTTCCACAGAACTAGATCACAGCACTGAGGGAGGTTGATTAGCACCTGCTAGTTTCTCTGAGTAATGTCTCCTGCTCAGCTTCAGACTGATTTTTTTTTTTTTCCAGGAAACATTTGCAGAAACAGCAGAGGTGACATCATCAGAAGAAATCCAGTGCAGCATAAATTACTAAATAAATCAATCAAATAAAAACAATTCTCTAAAGACTATATTCAATTGTAGTCAGAAAAGTAACATTAAAGAAAATGCGTTTAAACTTATCATTTTACTGCATCATTCTGTGGCTTTTAAACAGCAAGACCAGAATAATCAATCACAGATCACTAGATCATCAATCACAGTTCTGCTCCTATGAATTTGACTTCAACTGAGGAAAGAATTATGGTGGTTTTTTGTTTCCATTTACATTTCCCACATGCTACCATGAACCAAAGACAATTAATTTGATACAAATAATGCAAAACAATATTATTTTTCTTAATGTTTGTCTGTTTTTCAACTGGAACAGTTCTATCACCACTACATTAGTTAATCCAGACTTCCTCCATCGTTGTTTTTTGTGTGTTTTTGTGTCCAGATAGGTCAAAATGTTTGGCCTTGTTGCACCGTGACACTGACAGCAGCCCACTTCTCCTGTTTGGGCATTTTCAGACGGATTAGGTGCCCGGATATCGATCCGAGGATTGGCCTCGGCTCGGACCTTTCAGTATCCATCAGACAGATTTTTGTCCAGGTGAAAATAATCCTCTCAGCGTTCAGGGAGTGAGCGCAGGCACAAATAAAAACAACAGACACACGGGTAGCAGCGTTAAAGGGGAACGTGTTCACTCACCCGTTTGCCGGACTTGCCAGGTTGTCCCGGAGGGCCCTGGGTGCCCCGGGGCCCCTGCACAGACACAAGAAGAGCATTCAGAGCCACACAAGACCCACATGCAGCCTGCAGAGAGGCCGAGAGCTGAGAGTCGTACTCACCTGAGGACCGGAGTCTCCCCCATCACCTTTCAGTCCACTCGGACCAGGTGGGCCCTAAAGCGACAACAACCAAAAACTGTTTGTTCGTTTCACTCAGATCTCTGAGGGACAAATGATAGAAACTGAACAGCAGAGGGCAACATTTAGCTACACATGAGCTGCAGATTCTTCACCTGCAGAAACACACTTTTGTTCAGGTTGTTTTTTTTTTGTTTGTTTTTTTTATTAAAAAAAAAAAAGTTCACATTTCATTTGGTTGTGAACCAATGATGCCAACATTCACAAATTAGGTAATCTGATTTATGACTTTTATAAACTTTATGTTAAATTTTTGGATTTGACCAAACAATATGATAATATTTCTGTTTGGACACGAAACAGTTTGTTTAATTTACCAACAATTTCCACTTAATTCCCATAAATTAACATTTGTGTTTCAAAGAAAGCTTCCAATTTGTCTTGATGCATGATCAATAATCCAGGGAGAAAAATCAAACAAAGTGAAGTCACATCCTCTGGACGGATGCAAAAAATAAAAAATAATAAAATAATAATAAAATATGCTTATTTTTAGAGGACCTGACTTAACTTTGTTAGATTCCAGTTTATGGTATTTCCAAAACCCCAACTTTGTTTGAAAAGTTTCTGGACATTTACCAGGATTTCATTTTATTTATTTATTTATTTGTTTATTTGCAACCTGAATCAGAACATTTGTCAGTTTTTATGGCAGCATTAAAAGGGCAAGGTACAAACAACAACTTCTGGTTTTAAAGAGAAACTGGTAGTTAGAGTGGGCACGCTCCGGCCTCCAGTGGGATTTAGGACAAAACCATAAGCTCTGGAGCAGTGAGGGACACACTGGGTCAACAAAGACATAAAACCTGCATTTTGATGTATAAACTATACAGAAAGTGTAAAATCCCACATTCTATGAATTGTTAGATTTATAGAAATAAACAGAGTTGGTTTTAATCCCATTGCTTTCAGTTTTATGGGGAACTGGGAAAAATCTTGATTGTTTCAAACATTTGGTTTGTGCCGCATGATGTTCAGCGCACGCACAGCGTTCCTGGTTGAGCTGCAGCTCACGCGTTTCATTTAAAGTTTGGGCTTTTTCCTAAACTGCGGGAGGAGTTCACCAAAAAACCATCACGGAAACCGAAGGCGAACCATCGGATGAGTGACGCGTGTCCTTTAGCGCTCAACCTGTCGTCACGGTGACGGGTGTCTTTCACAGGGTTGCTGGAATCAACCCATTAAAAGTTGACGTTCGAAGCTTGAAACCCAACACGTATTAAACATTTTCATTTCCACACATGCACGGAGAACTGTGCATGCACAAATAGACGCAGAATCACCGTGGATAAGCATTTAGACAAAAAAAAAAACACCATTCAAACAAGAGCTTTTAAGCCAAATCATTATTTTAACTTGTCTCTGTGTATTCACTTTTATATGTATTCATTAAATTGGAATTACTTTCTTCTCTCTGCATCATTTTCGTCCCAAAATATGAATTACAGTATATAAACAAAAGAAAACGAGAACGTATCTTAAGCAGTGAACACGCTCACGTTTCAGAGCACTTCCTGTATTGTTCAGATTATAAGGCTCACTGTCGATTTTTGAGATAATTAAAGAATTTTAATTGCGCCTTATAGTCCGAGAAATACGGTACTTTTAAAACGCCGTGAATTTTCACGTATAGAAAACAATTTCCCTGACTGGAACGTGATGTTTAATCATGCAAAGTGCAGTTTGTGACATTTACAATTAGCATTTGCATTAAAAAAGTGAAAACCACTCACCACGGGTCCAGATCTTCCAGTTAAACCCATCGGCCCTGGGGGTCCCCTCATGGCCAGCTGCAGACAGAGACAAGTGCACGTTTCAATCCGAGAAACAAATCCATAAAACGTTACTCTACATCTTTATTTCCCAATATGCATCTGCAGCAGATAAAAGCCAAGGAGCGAGCTTTTTATAAACCATCATGATGAGTGTTTTCATGCAGCGGCTCCACTTCCCCGTCATAATTCTGTTTTAGTTGCTTTGAACATCTGATGATTATTAGCCCTCACCCCTTTTAAAGGCAGCACACTTTCAGCTATTATCTCATTTAAACGTCTACGTTTAGCTGTTTGGCTTCATGAGAATTTATGCACATGTATTAGGTTCTGTTTGCAAATAAAAAAAGCCTCGCACGCTCAATATTTTCTGAATTAAAGCAGCTTGTGAGATTAGTTTCTGAAATTTACGATAATCCACTTTCAGGGTCGTTCTACCTGATTGCGTCCACATTTATAGCCTGTGGGGGTGTAGCAGATCTATGTTCTGGTAAAGTCTGGTGGGTGAAATCAGATGGTGAGTACGCGGGATGTTTTTAAATTTTCTTTTCGCTGAAAAAGGAGTGGAGGAAGAAACAATCTAAAGATTTCTGCACCAAAGCAAAGCACGAGTGGTGAGAGTTTAGATTAATCACAAGAGCGTCTCAAATCAGCTGTTCTGAAAGCTCTAGAGTTACCCATGAACTGTGGCAGCAGTGGAGAGCAAGAGGGTGGTACGGAAGCTCAGGAGTGCCATAATTCATGTGCATTAAAACTTGAAAAAAAATTAATAATGTCATAAGCAACCCTCGTGTATAAAAAGCAGAATAACACTGAGCCGAGAAGCTAGACTTGTTTTTGATTATTTTTGAAGTTTCATGTTGTTCATATAATCTTTTTTATTATTATTTTTTAGGATTGCACTTTATTTTTCATGAGTTTGGGTCGAATTAATTAAAGCAAACACATTTTTAATACAATTTTTTTTTAAATATTAATGTCTGTCTGACCCGTAGAACACTATTTACTACAGTAGTCACTTGTTTATTGCGGGGGAGCTGTACCCTGAAGATCCACGATAAGTGAAAAACTGCAAAGTAGTAATAGTAGTACAAGTAGTAGTTTTTTTTAGTATATATATATATATATATATATATATATATATATATATAAAGGCATTTTAAACCCTTCCCACAGTCTTGCAATATTCTAAACAATGTTTCTAAACTCTAAAAGAGCACAGAATGTCATGACTTCAGCTCCCTGCCTCCGCTGCTCTCAGCCACCATAAAGCGTTCTTGGCCACGCCCACTTCTCCGCTCTGCACGGAGAACAGCCGATCAGCTGCAGCAGGAAGCTTACCCTGCAGCGTGGGCTGCAGAAAGGTGCAGCAGATGCTAAATAATTTAAAATAACTCATTCTAAATAAAAGCCATGCCGATCCTGCGGCTCATCCATCTATCAGCCAGTTGTGTGTCATTTCCAATCTTACTTGGAAAAACCGCAAAAGAGCAAGTCCGTGATAAATGAATCGCGAAGTAGCGAGAGACTACTGTATTAGGTATAGATATACTATTAGATAATTGTTTTTTTTTAAATTTAGTTTACTTTTTGTTAGTTTTCCTGAAACAATCTGTGATCCCAAAGGCTTGCACCAAACTGTGATTTCTTGAAACTACCCACGGCTCCTCCTGCAAAAACACATAACGATGATTTCTGCACCTGTTGCTTTAGTCCATCTTTAAATAGACCGCTCCGAAAGTACTTTCTAACACTCTCTCCTGCCAGTTGTACAGCTGTGTGGGGCAGTGGGGGGTCTTTCCTGGATCTTTACTTACTCTGGCCTGGGAAAGGATGGCCTGTGCCTGGGCTTCTTGTGCTGACACCACTGGCCCCTTCTCACCGTCCCCTCCAAAACGAAACTGTTCAACACACACACATCACGTGACTATTTCAGCTGTCGCAGATGTGTATTATTAACCGTGTGTACTTTGTTTGCGGGCTTACCGGCAGCATCAACATGGTACCAGGAGGTCCCGGCAAACCATCTGCACCTGCTAGACCGGGACGACCAGGAGGACCCTGCAGCGAAGAAGAGACGCCACAGATCATTAACGTTATCAATCAACAGCGCAATTATGGAAAGTGCAAACGCTGTAGGTAAAAACTAAATGTTGGTTAATTAAAAATATGATCTACATATTCTGTAACAGCGACAAAACAGACAAATTTGACAAACAAAATAAAGTTATTGGATGTTTTGGGTTTGACTTTGAGCTGTCTAGTGCTGCCAGTCGATAACAGGACTGGAGCGGTTTACTAGTTCGATAACCTTTAGCTCCGCTCTCTGCAGCCATCCTAAACTAAAGGTTGTCGTCCAAAACAAACATCCTTTGGATCAACAAGGAAAGTAAGAGTACCTGCCTTGTGTTTCTATGACATACTGAGATATCCATCCATCCATCCATTTTCTTTACCCGCTTATTCCATTTTGGGTCACGGGGGTCACTGGTGCCCATGTCCAGCAATCACTGTGCGAGGGGCGGGGTACACCCTGGACGGGTCGCAAGTCCATCACAGGGACACATAGAGACAAACAAACATTCACTCTCTCACTCACACCTAGGGACAATTTAGAGTTACCAATCAGCCTAACATGCATGTTTTTGGACTGTGGGAGGAAACCGGAGTACCCGGAGAAAACCCACGCATGCACGGAGAGAACATGCAAACTCCACCCAGAAAGGCCCCTGGACCGGGGTTTGAACCAAGGACCTGCTCGCTGAGAGGCAGCAGCTCTACCAGTTGCGCCACCGTGCTGCCCCATACTGAGATATGTTACAGTAAAATATGTCACAGTGTCGCCTCTTTATTGTATCCAACGCTCGAGCAAACGAAGGCACAGCTCCAGTAAAAACTGTTGGATTTATTGATCTTATAGTGGAATTCTGTAGCATGACGTTAGCAACATAAAATGTCACATGTAAAAATGAAAACTTATTTTAAAGTGACCCCAAATTATCTCATGTTGCGCTACGCTAACGCTCTGCCGAATCTACGGTACTGTTACGCCTAATAGTCGTTTATCTTTCTTATCCATTGTGTTTTGAGTGCTATCCATTTGTGTTCTTGGCAAATGTATTTATTTATTAATCTTTCTTTAACCAGGCACACTGACCTCTCTTTCAAGGGAGACCTGGCAAGCCTAACATGCATGATTTTGAACTGTGAAAGGAAACCGGAGTACCTGGAGAAAACCCACACAAACACGTAGAGAACATGCAAACACTACACAGAAGGACCCCAGGTCTAAACCAGGAATTGGACTCAGGACCTTCTTGCTGTGATGCAAACGTGCTACCCACTAAACCACTGTGATGTCCCAAATATACCATCTGAGACCATAGAAACTAAGAGGATTTCAGCTTCTGCTGCAGGCTCGTGATGGAAAAAATACATAAATTTAGCATACGCCATGCTAACAATGCTAACACTGAGGTAGCGTAGTCCCTCGTTTATCGCAGGGGATCCGTACCCTGAAGACTCGCGATAAGTGAAAAACCGCGAAGTAGGAATAGTAGTATAAGTAGTAAGTAGTGGTTTATTTTCTTATTTATATATATATATTCATATATTAAAGTGTTTTAAACCCTTCCCACACTCTTGCAATATTCTAAACAACGTTTCTAAACTCTAAATGCAGAATGTCATGATTTCAGCTCCCTGCCTCCGCTGCTCTCAGCCACCTGCAAGCGCTCGTGGCCACGCCCACTTCTCTGTTCTGCATGGAGAACAGCTGATCAGCTGCAGCAGGAAGTTTATCCTGCAGTAAGGGCTGTACAGAGGTGCAGCAGGTGCTAAATAATTTTAAACAATTTATTTTAAATAAAAAATTCCATGCCGATCGTGCGGCTCATCCGTCAATCAGCCAGTTGTGTGTCATGTCCAATCTTATTTTGAAAAACCGCAATAGAGCGAATCTGCGATAAACGAACCACGAAGTAGCGAGGGACTGCTGTACACACGCTATATACATACAGAAACACAAATTTTATGCTTTTGTCTTAAATGGCCAATGATTTCTCAAGAAAGTTAAAATAAATAACGTTATGTCAGCGGCTTTAGCAAAGTAGCCAACAAGTACCGCCTAATTCTGTGCAGTGACGACCTAATTTAAAATAAAACAAGATTAAAGTCCAATTACTGACTCCGTTTAGACACCTCCGGTTCATTACTGCACCTTTTAAAATTCAGTTTTATCGTCTTAAACTGGAATTGACCAAAAATGTGTTCAGGCGCAACCTTCAGCACCTTTCCTTCTTTACTGGTAAAAAGAACGGCAGCAAGAATTAGAAAAGGTTTGGCATTCGTCCAGCTCTAATCTTTAGTGACTCATGATGTATCACAGGATATTTCTTTAAAAACACAAACGTACATTTTTTTATGGCAACAGTACAAAACGACGTCTGCAAAGTTTGTACTTGAGAGAAAGCAAATATTATTTGAAGAAAATGTGAGGGTTTATTAAATCATGCAGCACATGTTAACACGTGTGTCTGTTAGCAAAATTTCTAATCAACTATATGGTTATCGATGAAACACAGAATCAACTTTAGGAAACAGAAAAATGTTTTTAACTCATAAGTTTTACAGATATTGAGCTAACATGGTCTGTTTGTTTTGGGATCCTAGATGTTAACTCACTCTGTCACCAGGATCTCCAGCGACGCCTGGGGGTCCTTGTAGGCCCGAAGGTCCTGGAAGACCCTAAAAAACACATTTAAGTTGTAAAACCAGTCTGAACGTTACTGGAACCTGACAGCCAGTCAGCTGATCAATGGGGATTTTCTCTTTATACTCACAGCTTGGCCCGGTGGTCCTGGTGGTCCTTCGATCAGCATGCCCTTTAAATTACAAACATACCGTTTCACTCTTAACGCTCTGTTATGGGATGCCGTTTGTAAAGTTACACAGCCAAAATTTAACAGCAATATTTTGGTTTATTTAGCCTTTAATAAGAAAAAAAAATTCTTAAAAGTCTTATTTTCACTGTTATTCATACATATATAAATGTCATAGTTCCAAACTAGGATCACTTCTCTGTTATTTGCAGATGATGTGGTTCTATTGGCTTCATCAGGTCATGAGCTACAGCTTTCTCTGGAGCGGTTTGCAGCTGAGTGTGACGTGGCCGGGATGAGGACCAGTTCCTCCAAATCCGAGGCCATGGTCTTGAGCCGGAAAAGGGTAGAGTGCCCTCTCCGGGTCAGGGAGGAGGTCCTACCCTCATCTATGGTCATGAGCTTTGGGTTGTGACCGAAAGGATGAGATCACGGATACAAGCGGCCGAAACGAGTTTTCTCCGCAGGGTGTCTGGGCTCTCCCTTAGATATAAGGTGAGAAGCTCGATCATCCGGGAGGGACTCAGAGTCGCTGCTTCTCCACATCGAGAGGAGCCAGTTGAGGTGGCTCGGGCATCTGGTTAGGATGCCTCCTGGACGCCTCCCTGGTGAGGTGTTCCGGACACATCCCACCAGGAGGAGACCCAGTGGAAGATCCAGGACACGCTGTGCGGACTACGTTTCTCGGCTGGCCTGGGAATGCCTCGGGATTCCCCCGGAGGAGCTGGACCAAGTGGCTTGGGAGAGGGAAGTCTGGGCCTCCCTAATTAGGCTGCTACCCCTGCGACCTGACCCCGGATAAGAAGAAGAAAATGGATGGATGGATGGATGGATGGATGGATGGATGGATGGATGGATGGATGGATGGATGGATGGATGGATGGACGGACAGATGGATGGATAGTTCCAAACTAAATATTTAATTTACAAGCTAAATATTTAATTTCTAAGTTAAATATTTAGTCCTAAACTAAATATTTAATTTGCTAACTAAATATGTAACTTGCAAGCTAAATATTTAGCTTGCAAATTAAATATTTAGTCAGCAAATTAAATATTTATTTTGGAAATGAAATGTTTAGCTTAGAAATTAAATTTTTATTTTGGAAATTAAATATTTAATTTACACCTAAATTTTTAGTTTACTAACTAAATATTTAACTTTTCAGTTAAGTATTTCGTTTGTAAACTAAATATTTAGCATGTAAATTATTGAAACTATGACATTTATATTGCGAAGTATGACTTTGAAAAAAAACTTTAATTTTTCTTATTAAAAGCTAAATAAACCAAAATATTGATGTTAATTTTTGACTGTGTAACTTTACAAACGGCACCACATACTGTGTAGCTGCCAGCTTCAGCTCAGCACGTCAGTTTACAGTTTAACAAAAAGCTCAGTCTGACGTCTGACAGTGAAAACACAGTTTAGGACCTTACAGGTTCGATCACAGCCGGTTCGCCCTTCTCGCCCTTCTGGCCATAAGCTGCTTCAGAACCGGCAACCTGCATGTGCAAAGCAAGAAAAGACGGGATATTCTTTACACAACCAAAATAATAATGAAAAAAACTCTAAAGAGAATAAACCAGGAGGGGAGAGGATGTTTTGACACTTCCAATCAACAGATCAGAGAAAACAAAGACACCACATGAACAAACAGGCACGTGTTAGTAGAGAGGAGCATGGACGGACCTCATCGCAGAGCCAACGGACAATTTGTTTTATGTCTGTTGGGAAGTGGAATTAAGATGGAAAGGATCAAGACAAAAGAACAAACTAGGAAGTTCCTGGAGAAGCTTTGACGGGGGCTGAAACGTGGCGGCTATTTTCAAATTTAGATGACTAAAATACCTACGTTTTGATATATACTGTAATATCTTAAGTAACGGTACATTATTCTAGAATTATGCCGCTCGGGGTGGCTGCATGTTGGAGCAGCTCTCTTTTATTCTGAGATTTTACCTTTAGAAACTTTAATTCCTGTTTTTCTGGATATAAATCACATTTTTTTGGGTGATTGCTTCCTCCAGTGTTGGATGCTGTGCAGCTGGAAGGATTTTTACTGAAACTTTTTTTACTTTTGGACATTTATTATGATGTGTAACCATGACAACAAGGTGGGGTTTTTTTTACAACCAGGAGCTGCTGATTACCATCTCAAAGCTCAAAAAATATACAGCCCTAAATTTCAAATGAGTTGAAAAGGAGGCGCTGTGGATGCATTCCCGTCTCCCTGCCGGCTGTGCTCAAGTGCCTGACTGCTGAGATCCTGGAACCGGCAGGAAACGTGGCTCGTGACAGCAGAAGGACTGGGATCGTCCCTCGACACCTACAGCTGGCTGTCCGCAGCAACGAGGAGCTCGACAGGCTGCTGGGAGGATGGCGATCACTCTGGGAGGAGTTCTGCCTGGCATTCGGGCGATCCTGCAGCCTGGGGGAACTGGGAGGCCAGCCGAGTCTGGGTGGACGGATGAGAAGGCATCTGCGGCCAGTTTCTTAGGATCCACTGTGGGATGGAGCTTTACAAGAGATCCTTCCTGTCTACAGTCTTCAGTATCTATAACAACTCTTAATGAAATGAGGATAACGAGTTACAACTACAAATAATTTCCCTTTGGGATTAATAAAGTATTTTTGAATTTGAATTTTGAAGATATAAAGTTAAGAAACCCTTGTCAGGTGGATAATAACAAGGTGCTGCCTTCAGGTTTTTGTTTGGCCTTTTCCTCGTTTGTGTTTCTGCATTTTTTTCACTTTACGTATCATCATGTTTCTGTAGGACTTATTTTAATGTTCTTGCTTGTTTTATTTCCATGACCAGATTTTCTCCTCAGCTCCACTGTTTACCTTCTTACACACACCTGCCATTATTCTTCCTGTTCTCAGCTGCACTCACTCAGTAATCACCGCTCGCTGAAGAAATTGGACGCTGTTTTTCCTGTTTAAAGTCAAATATTTGAATGTAAATCCTGCTCTTGCTCAGTACTCTATTTTTATTTCACCTTCGTGTTTTTAGTCATTAAATACATCTAAAAATCGACCTGCTGCCGGCACACATGGATCCAACCACCCAAACATAACAAAACCTGGAGCAGGTCACTCTAAACGTTGATGTCACTGATAGAAGTAGTCTAAAATAGCTTTTAAAGAGGGTTTAGGACATCCTTGTAAAAGAGATTAATAATCTCAATGGATTTCTTTCCTGGTAATATAAAGGTTTAAATAATGATAAAAAATTTAACTGGGAAAGGTAATGAACAGTTAATGTCTTACATGTGGCAGATAGCTATTTGAACGGCTTCAGTTCAGAGAAATAGCTTAACTGTGACAGGACTGATGAGCCTAAGGCTAGTCTAAGACCAAAGTGGATTCAAGTGTAAACCCTCATTTATAAACATTTGCGTTCCTGTGGCTTAAATAAAAGTTTGTGGGTATTTGAAAGAGCAAGAAGTAAAAGTTTATAAACCTGACTCAGCATCAGATCAGAGTTCAAGACGGCAGAGATTAACTTTGGTCTCAGTCAGAGAATTTTAAGCTAAAGCGCTCTTCTGTAACTTTTTAATTTGTCTTCAAATGCCCCCCCTTTGTCCACTTGGTCCAGTCCAGTTGGGCTGGTCCAGTCTACCCCCCCCCACAGCTATTCAATATTTATACTAACAACTAATCATAACTACTTTGTATGTATTAGGCATCTTCACGAGAACTAATCTGATTTAACTTTAGTCTATTTTGACTTTTTGCTGAAAAAAGACGCATTTTTATTAAAGTTTACCCCCCCCCCCCCCCCCCGCCCTCCCCCACTCCACCCCCCCCCCCCCCCCCCCCCCAACCAAACAGAGACGTGTCCTGCTGTTTATCCAGCTGGCCAGGAAACTTTCATTTTTACCGTTCCCACAGTTCAACGTGGGGAAAGTACACAAATTGCGCTCACCCGTGACTATAGCTTCCACTTTATAATCCTTTCAAAATAAAGTCAGATGGCAGAAACAGATGCTCCGAGTTCTTCCTGTTGGTTAATTATTATTATTATTTTTTTTTTAGGTTGTTCTGTCGCTAATAACTCCCAGGCTCGAAAAGCAACATTTGGAAACAAACAAACAAACAAAAAACAAAAACACATATTTGATGTTTAAGATAATGCTCAAATGAATCATTTTAACTAGATTTTAAATATTCAAAAATCACTACGCTCATCAGTCCAGTCAGAATTCAACTTTTTTTCTTCAAACTGAGGAGCTGTTTACGACAAGATGTAAACCGTTTCTATAAAAATCTAAAAAAATCTGGTTTGGATTAGGATTTTGGGCAGAAAGAGCGGTGAATAAACCCTTAACATGTATGTGTGTGTGTGTGTGTGTGTGTGTGTGTGTGTGTGTGCTGCCTATGATTTATTGGTTGAATGTGGTGCACAAAGGCAGCAACATGTCGCAGTCTGCTTGTTGAGACAGCAGAGAAGAAGAAGAAGGGATTGACTCCAACTCTTGGCAGGGATGCTCAGCGGGGTTTGGGTCGGGCTAACACCCCCTGACTGACGGTTGTGACTGAAACAGGAAGTTATTAAAGTTGTAAATACATATTTTTTACCACATCACGATTTGGACTAAAATGCATGCATAGTCCCTTTAGACTCCAGCTCGACAATAAGTTTCCCATGTCAAGCACCCAGAACGTCATGCACGGCGCTGCTCATGCACACCCCGCCCCGCGACGCCGGGTCAGGGGGGCGATACTCACGGTACTTTCAGAAAAGTCAGTTTCCGCAGCGACCCCAAGCCCCACCTCGTCATCGTAGGCCGCCGGGGCTTTGGACGGGGCGAACTCATCGTACGTGCCGTAATCATACAACTTGCTGTCAACCTCACCCAGGTCGTACTCGTTCAGGTCGTACTCCTTGAAGTCGAACGCTTCGGCGCCGGCGTCCGAGCCGGCCACCGTTTGGGACTCGGTACTCGGCTCCGGAGCAACGGGAGGGGCGGCGGTGACAAACGCACCGACAACATCCTCCCCCTCAGCCTTCCAGGTGTTACACAAGCAAAGAAGGAGAAGGAACCAAAGAGACAGGAACGTTAGTTTAAAAGGGACAGTTCAGCTCTTTTAAAGTGGGGTTCTGTGGAACACATCTGAACAGTTAATATTTTACCTGTTGTAGATAATTTGTTTGGACGAATTAAGGAAAATTCTGACTGGACTGATGAGCTAATTGCTAATCAGAGCCGTTCTAAAGCAACTATTATGTATGTCGAAATGTGTTATATTAAATAGCAAGCTAGCTGTAGCACCATTGGTGTTCCATAAATTAATAATTTAGCAGGAATATAAAGTTTAAATAAAAGCCTTCCCATCTTAGTCCAGCTCAGATTAGCAGTTAACTCAATAATATATTCAAAAATAAACTCTTTCCTCAGTTTGAGGTCGTTCAAAGAGCTATCCACAACAGGTAAGATATTAACTGTTCAGAACTCCTCTTTAAAAGAGCTGAAGTCTCACTTTAGCCAACTAAAGCATAAGAACGTCTACTGTGGCATGTTATTAAAGCAAACAGCAAACGTGTTAAGCATTATATGCAGAAAAAAATTAAAAAGTAACAATAATAACACTTTATTCTTTTTAAATGTTGCACATTTTATGATTTTTAAAGGAGGTAAGATGAAAAACTTTCAAACCTTTGCAGGTATGTTAAAAAGTACTGCAAATGGAATTGAATAAAGTGTTATTGTTGCAGCAGCTGTGCATCAAAGACCAACAGCATCCGAGCTCGACAGACAACACATCATTTTCATTGAATAATTGTTAAGATGATGCACGCTCTGCGTTTGGCTCCGGCGCTTCAACCGCAGCCACTTGGCTCACTTTGTGCCTCCCATTCCACACGGTGGGTTTGGGCTCGGAGCGGGACAAAGTAGATGCAATTACACGTTGCTGCTGGCACTCATCCATCCTGCCAAAGGAATCATGTCAAACAGGCGCTTTAATCGCATCTAATTTGTCGACTAACGTGGCAGACGAAGCATGATCAGAGCAGGCTGTGGGGCGGATCGCAGTTCTGTTCCAGGTTATCAGCAGAACAAACCGGTGGATGGTGTGATGGACAACAGGACATCTGTGCTTTATGAATATCTGCTGGATTCTACCGTAATTATCTTAATAAAATTTGGATTTTGGGTCAGATTTCCACTCTTTAAATAAAGGAAACAAGCTGATGTCCCCCCGTCGCTGAAGCATTAGAACAGTGAACGTTTGTAGTTGTTGAGATGAGTGTTTTTCTGGACTGGAACAGGAAATGCAAGTAAACTTTAATGTTTTTGGAGCAAGATATATTTAGATTAAGGATGCACGATATTGGATGATATCCGATATGTCAATATGTTAAAACTTATTTGGCTAATAACCGATACCAATACCGATATATTTTTTTTCCCTAGACCAGGGGTCTGCAACCTTTACGATCAAAAGTCCGGAGCCGCAACACCCTGCTACACCTGTGGTTATCAACTGGTGGCCCATGGGCCACTTTAGGTTTGCTGGAGGCAGCTTTTGTGGCCAGTAAGGGTGACATAAAGCAAAAAATATCTAATGATTTATTTACTTATTATTATTATTTTACCATCTGTTTTTTTAATTAATAAACCTATAAAGTATGCAGACAGTTCTTCATATAAAAAAAAGCATAAAGAGAAAGTTTTACTCCTTGTACTTGCTCCAGTGTTCACATATTTGCAAAAGAAATGACGGGAAAACAGCTAAAGCTAGTTCTTTTTAATTGTTTCTATAACAACCAATAAAATTCTGTTTTATGCCACTTTTGGTCAAAGCTTGAAAGAGCCGCTGCAGAGGAACCAAAGAGCCGCGGGTGGCTCCAGAGCCGCAGGTTGGAGACCACTGCCCTAGACCTACAGTCTACACAGCTTTCTCTGCTGTGGAATGAAAATACATTATTCTGCATGGTCTTTGTCAGTTTGGCCTGATACCAAATGCAGCTGCCAAAAAGGGGGATGGAAATGATGCAACACTTTAACATGGATTATATTAAAGATTAATTAATTTTAAAATTAATAAAATAATCAAATTTAATTTATTGAACCAGAACAAGGCGATGGGTGGTAGGACTACTGGTTTTGGAATTGACCAATAAAACTATGATGGAGCACCTTTAGCTAAAATAAAATTAACTTGCAGCATCCTTCCTTTAACCTTTAATGTACTCGTGTGTGTTCAACCTGCAGGATTTATACAAAAAAAAACAAAAAAAAACGACGCGATCGTTAATAAAATGTCCCGTGTCCATCACGTCCACCAGACTGCGGAGTCTACACACATCAGAAGACACACGGACTCATGTGAATGACTGTGTCTTTATCTCATACCAGGTACTTCTCCAGGCTCACATCTCCCCAAACACCAAAACTGAGGCTTTTAAAAGTAGACAAGAACGAAAAGAGAAAATTACCTCGTTGGGTCCGCTCGTGGCAACGGGGGACTGAGTCTGAGTATCGTCTACAGTCCCGTAGTCAGTGTCTGTATTGTAATCTCCCTCTATATTGTTTAGCTGAGTCGTAGGGAAAAAGGAAAGAAGAGTCTGGGTTAATAAAAGGTTTATATTAGAAGGTTTTGAAGGGGGGGTCTCGCTTCTACACACAAGCGGTTAGGGAGGTCTGAGTGGACCATCAGAGATTTTCCTTTAAAAACTGAAGGTGGGAAAATCTTGATGGGATTCCAACTTTTTCTTTGGATGGAAGTTTACCCTAAAACCGCCTCTTTGCGGCGCTGTGGCCTGGTAGCCGAACAACAGCTGATTCCTCGGGTAGGTAACCCTTTTAGCTGATGACCGTTTGGCAGCCGAGCGCTTAAAGGTCTTGGCCTTAGCTTTACCGACGGACTTTCTGCTCGTCTTCTTTTTCACGGTGACACTACGTTTCGTTCTCTGGAAGAGGGGACGGCGACAAAGGTGAAAGGATTGAAGAGCACTCATCACAGGGTTTTTCTTTTCTGAGCTGATCACAAGAACACCTTTCAGAACGGGATACACTTCATGGCTGAGCTCTTCAGGGGTTACACTCAACATTTAAAGGACATATATAAAAATATCATATCTTATAAAGACACTAAAACACATAAAAAATGCTTTTAGGAGCCCTTAACATCTTTAACAGGGATTAAATCAGATTGTTGTAAAAGTAAGATTGATTTAGTGTGTTTTATAAGATAAAATACCACGTTATTGTATAGTTTTAACACATTAAAAACACATTAAAAGCAAATGGCAGCAGACACATTAAACAGATAGCGACTTGTGTGTTTGCATGCACCCTCTGGCCCTGATTCACCAAGAACTGCACAGCTTTTGCCTCGAAGCCCGTGTAAAGGGAGATGTGTGCTTCAAACTGTGCTGCCAACCAAAACAGCTTTCCTTTAAACTGGCAGAGTTTGCACATGCTAAAATAAAATATACATTCATTTCATTATAATAATAATAACAATAATAATTTATTCAATTTGTACTACACCTCAAAGTGCTACAATATAAAACATCTAGAGAGAATAAAACATGGACTAAAATAAATAAAAAAAACTGCAGGATTAAAAATACCTTTAAACACTATAAAATCTTTCAAACGAAAAGGTCTTTCTTAAAACGTTATGTAGGGTATCCATAGATAAAGGGAGTCAAACTCAATTACAAAAGGTGGGCCAAAATTAAAAACTTTAATTGCTCCTATTTGATGTTCTCTGTTGCTCTTTCCACATCAAAATGAAAGATTACTGAAAAATCCAACCTTTTTTCTGGCTTCAAAGTTAACAAAATTCCCCGAGAGGTCTGCCCTAAATGATTTAGTAGTTTTATAAGCAAAGTGAGAAACAATAGTAAAAAAACAAGTACATTTAAAATATCTTAGGGGGCCAGATACGGTGTTGACAAGGGCCAGATTTGGCCCACGGGCCTGGACTTTGACACATGTGCCTTAGATGGTCTGGGAGTGTGTTCATTTAGAAGGAAAACAACCCCAAGATCATTCATGAGACAAATTATTATATCTTGCTACTATTTTAGGGGACGTTCAACCTATTTAAATTTTGTTGCAAGCATCTCCAACACGTCTCAGAAGTGCTAGCGTTGTATTTTGACACCTGCATAGAAGAAGAAGTGTACGAAACGAGCTGATGTGGGTGGAAGTAGGCAGCACAGTAATGTGCACGGCAAAGAATACAATTAATTAAACTGTTTACATTAAAACAGGTCCCGATTGTCAAGAAACGACCGCTCAATAAGCAGCTCCACGACTCAGCGATCACTTAGTCCCAAATACTCGTAGAGTTTAATGAGGCGGCAAATAAAATGTTCCATTTTTCGCTCTTCTAGGGATTTTTTTCCCCACAAACTAGTCTCGTGATTGTCACAAATGATGATACCAACTGAAATGTGCTTCAAAGAAGAAACCGAGGAATAGGAGTGATCTGCTGTGCTGCCTTTACAAAAAGTGGGCAGGTATGTTGAGAAGAAACATCTGAAAAGACCCCATTATAAAAAACAGTCCCTTTACCATATTTTCGGACTATATGGCGCAACGGCTTACCATATTTTCCACCGTACATATCACACCGTCCTATAAGTCGCATCAGTCCAAATATGTCTAATAAAGTGGAAAAATCCATGAATAAGTCGCTTCGCCATATATGTCGCATCTATCATGCGTCATCACTGACGCGTCGCGTTTGTTACGCGTCACTGCTGACACACCGTAAATGTGGTCCGGTGTTGTGCCAAAAATTGAGTGGCTGCCAAATGGCGACCGCGGAAGTGTGCACGGGACTTTAACAAAAATTTAACAAGATTAACACTTAAAAACAAATATTTGTTTGCTCGACATTATAGTAAAGGTGTGTCTCAGTTTAACTTTTACTTAATAAATGTACTTCAATGGTCAAATCAGCTGCATTTCGCCGGGGCGGCGCAGCGAAATGCAGCTGATTTGACGTTTGCTCCAGGCGAGCTGGATGAAGGTGGCATCTATGGCAAGCCGACTGTGTCATTAACAGCCACTTTTACCTATTACATGACACAACGGCATGCCATACAGCTCGAGTGCCATCTAGTGGCTGAAAATGGTAGTGTTCAATATTTTCAGTCAGAATGAATGAAAACGGTCATATCTCAGCCAAAATTTGGGTTATAAATATGAGGGAAAAAATCCATAAGTCGTTTCGGCGTTTAAACCGCCGGGTATGCAAATTATGCAACAAAAAAAAAACACGACTTATAGGCTGAAAGATATGGTATAAGGCACATAACCAATGAATGGGTCTGTTTTCATACATAAGGGGCATTAAGCAAAACAAGTTCATTTTGACAGATTTTTGAGTGACATGTACCACATAAAATCAGTTTGAGGTCAGTAAGCACAGCTAGAGTTAATCCATAAGGCTAAAACTAAAGGATTTTAAGTGCGCCTTATATTCCGAAAAATATGGTAATTTAATTTATTAGGCAAAAATAATAGAACGCAACGTTTGCCTTGCAAGCTCAAAAGGTCCCACTGATTTAGGCCGGCATATACTGTACTTTACATAATGTATTTATTTTTCTTAGAGAATAGAGTGCAGACACAGAGCAGGCAGCGGGTGCAAATGACGCGCAAAGAGTGGAGCAAAATGAAGCGGCTGCTCAGTTTTAGTGAATCAGGGTTCCACGATTGAACATAAACATTAAACAATATAAATAAAACTGGGACGCCCTTCACAGTTCAGGGTCCGTTTAAACTCAAAACTTCCCCTTTTTGACAAACACTCAAAACTTTTCATTATCGTGACACAGAGTGCATGTAAACACAGCGTAAAATACATTAATAATAAAACACATTTTCCTGTGTTTTCATTTACCTGCGGTTCAGAATACTCATCAGTTGGGATGACCTCCGTCGGGCCCTCGACGTAATCATAGAACTGTGAGTAATCTAAATCATCAGTAGTGTACTGGAGAGGTTAGAAGACACAGAGAGGGGACGGTTTAGTGTTGACGGACGCAGAACATGATTTAACCAAGATGTTCTGAACATCTTCATACATGTTCTACTGACACTTGTAGCAGACAGCAAATGTTCTCATGATGAGCCGCATCATGTGTCATTTATCACTAATTTACAGCTAAAACTGGTTGATAACGGCACCAGAAGTGACGGTAATCAAAATACAAAGATTCTGTTACAAACCAGCGACCAAATGCTGAAAGCTGCTACAAGGAAGTTTACTTACAAACAGCAGATGGGCTCTTTAAAAGGCTCATAAAAAGCAGAAGGCGCTCAAACTAAATTACTGGCTGCATTTATGAGATTTCGTCACAGAACGTCTTCAGTAAAAACACGTGAGCAGCTTAAACAGAAAAGACACGAAGCGTCTTTTCTGTGTCGGTTCTGCCTTTGAAGGACGCAAATTTAAAACTGGAAGAACGGAGCCTCTGTGGCAACACGCTTACATCACTAAAAGTGACCAGAGGGATAGTTGGGAACTTCTGGAGTGGGAGTTGGTGGAAAGGTACGGTGGCCCTAAGGTGTAGATGAACAACATTTGAAAAAACGAATCACGTTTGAAAACAACGGAATCACATTAAGCCAAAGTGGAAGTGGTGGGGTTTTTCTTTTGTGTGTGTATTTTTTTTTTACTTTATTAACAACATTAAACAGAACAACAGAACAATGCACAGTACATACACAACAGAGATGCAGTTAGCAGGCTAGCTTTTAACCCCGTAGAAATAAGAGTTATGTTTTGTTCAAAATTAAAGAAGATATGATGCTGGAAAAACTTGGCAGGATTAGGAATAGGATTAAAGCTTGAACAAACCATAGCTCTATTTCTACAGGATAAAAGCTAGCCTGCTAACTGTACCTCCGTTGTGTGTGTACTTTGTACATTGTCCTGTTGTTCTGTTTTATATTGTTAATAAAGTAAAAATAAAACAAAAACACACAAAAACACAAAAAAACAATTCCGGTTTGGTTTAATGTAATTCTGTTTGTTAAAATGTGATTCAGTTTGTTTCAAATATGATTTTGTTTTTTCTAATGTGATTTTTTTTTCACATTTGATTCCGTTTTTTTAACATGTGATTCAGTTTATTCTAATGTGATTCTGTTTTTTCACATTTGACTCTGTTTTTTTTTTACATGTGATTCAGTTTTTTCAAATGTGATTCTGTTTTTTCAAATGCAATTCCGTTTTTTCAAATGCGATTCCGTTTTTTTCAAATGTCATTCTGTTTTTTCAAATATAATTATGTTTATTTCAAATGTGATTCAGTTTCTTTCAAATATGATTCTGTTTTTTTCAAATGTGATTCCGTTTTTTCAAATGTGATTCTGTTTTTTTCAAATGTGATTCAGTTTTTTCAAATGCGATTCCGTTTTTTTCAACTGTCATTCAGTTTTTTTCAAATGTGATTCAGTTTTTTCAAATGTGATTCTTTTTTTTTTTTTTTTTACATGAGATTCCGTTTTTTCAAATGTGATTACGGCCACTTCCGCTTCGGCCACTTCTACTTTGGCTTAATGTAATTCTGTTTTTACAAATGTTGTTTATTTTCACCTTAGGGCCACCGTGGAAAGGCCATGAAGAGCTAAAATCTTACCTGTTGCAGATAGCTCTTTGAACGATACTGGTTTGGATTAAAGGGGTTTAATTCTGACTCATGGACTAACAGCTAGTCTGAGAGCAAAGTGGGTCACTGCCTCCTTAAAAACAATTCCAATCTTGAACAAATTAAAGGGGGTCGTTCAACACAAGAACTGTGACATCAGCATCAGTTTCACAGCATATGATCACTTTGTTTACATGGAAATAACCATGTTTTTTTGTTTCTGTGGAAGTTGCAATGAAAGATGACAAAAACCCTCTTTGGTCTCGGCCCCGCTCGGACCAGTCGTTGTCTCACCGACAGGTAAGATGATAACAATTCATAACTTCTCCACGTTATCCCTTTTAAGGCATTTATCAGGTTCATATAGTTAATAAAGTTGTATTTTCTGGCAAAACATTGCACAAAATCATATTTTATGATGACTTTTTTTAAAGGTTTAAAATAATGCAGCAGTAATTTTTAATTAAATAAAGCAGTATGTTTTAATAAAAGCAGAGGCTGCTCAAGGTGTCCTCACAAAACTAAGGTTTGTGAGCAGAACCTTGTGGTTAATAAGTCGTCAGGCTGCGTCTTCGTGGTTAAAACAATGTTCAGAGGAAGACAAGCTCTATCTTACATGACAGAACCATTTAAGGTGTTCTTTTAAGCCAATAAAGACATCCACAGCTCATGTTTTATCTTTGCTCGCTGCACTGATCTGCGATCAGTTAGCTGTGGCAACACTTCAACTACGACTTCTGGATTATAATAAATAAAACGTTGAATATAAGAAACATTTGCCTCAAACTGGAGTGCATAAACCTCGGTAAATGTGTGTTTAATTATCGAATTGGCGGTTAAAAACGCTTTTTGGGTCCTCCATCATGGAGGTTTCGGTCGTCCCCCCCACCCTCCCCGGACGGCTGACCTCTTCTGGCTCCTGGGCCTGCAGGGAGTCCCTGTGGGGGGTGTCACAGTCTGGGCTGTAGTGTTCACAGTAGTCGTACGCTGCTTTGGGATCATCAGCAATCAGAAGCTGCTGGATGTCGCCCTGCGGAGAAACAGAAAACAGCCCAGTTACTGACACGTCAGCAGATCAGGGGTCGTGCCTCGTCTTGTTCTCGTTCAAACGCAGGAAACAAAAACGACATAAATGAAAATCTTTAACCACACACGAGATCTCTTTGGTTTCACGGAGTCTGGCAGACTACTGAATTGTATAATTACACAGCTCGGCTCATCTGACTGGATGCAGAGAGCAAACTAAGCAGACGCACCGGGGAAATGATTGTTATCAGTTCTGGCTCCTCCTCCTTCAGGAAACACCTGCTGCCGTGAAGGGGTTAAAATAAACCGTTACCTTCAAACAGACTGGAAACACGGTGGGAAAGCTTTAACCAGAACATGAAAGGTTACCAGTAAAAAAGCTTTACGTTCTTTATAAACGTTCTTTAAAACGGATTCATATTAAATGTTTTCTGCAGTTCAACTGACCACACGTGTCGTTCAGACTTCACAGGGCACTTTAGGATGAAATGTTGCTGCAAAGGCTTCAAAACCATGTGAGGAGTAAAACAAGAGGGCAGCAAATCAGAATGAAGAGCGTGTACCAGAAAACAACAACAACAACAACAAAGAGTGATGGAAGCAAATAAACAATTCCACAGATATGAAGATAAATAGTTGTACAAAGTTTTAACTGTGGCACTGAAATGTAAAATGTTGAACATCTATCTATTCATCCATCCATCCATTTAACCATCCATCCATCTATTAATCCATCCAACCATCCATCCAATCATCCATCTGTTCATCCATCCAACCATCCATCCAATCATCCATCTATTAATCCATCCAACCATCCATCCAATCATCCATCTGTCCATCTATCCATACAAACATAATACATATATACATCATCCATCCAGCCATCCATCTATCCTTCCAGCATCCATCTGTCCATCCATCCATCATCCAACCATCCTTCCATCTGTCCATTCATCCATACATACATACATACATACATACATCCGACCATCCAACCATCTATCCATTCATACTCATCCATCTGTTCATCTGTCCATCCATCTGTTCATCTGTCCATCCATCCATCCATCTGTTCATACATCCATCCATCCATCTGTTCATCTATCCATCCATCTGCTCATACATCCATCCATACAACCATCCATCCATCCATACAACCATCCATCTGTCCATCCATTCATCTATCCATCCATCCACCCACCCACACACCCACCCATTCATCCATCCATCCATCCATCCTTCCATCCATCCATCCATCCATATATCGATGTATCATTCTTCTGCCTCGATGTCCTCCACAGTGTCTGAATCACCTTCCTTGGAAAGCATCCAGAGGACATCTTTACCAGACACAAACTACCTGAGCTGGCTCCTTATGATGTGGAGAAGCAGCGACTCTAAGCTCCTCCTGAATTGTGGAACTCCTAAGACGATCTCTAAATGTGAGACTAGCCAGTCTGCAGTTATTGTATTTTATATTTTTTAATAATTAATAAAAGCTAAAGACTGTAGGTGCAGGTTGAAATATACAATCAGTTGGTAAAATGAGATATTTACTTTCTGACTATTCTCTCTCTCTCGCCCCCTCTCTTTTCATCCCAACAGATTCCAAACCATCTTTAAATCGTTGCTCTACACACACTTGTCAACAAGACCCTGAGATGCTTGAACTCCCTCATTGGTTCCTTCATGGACTGTGGCTCATTCCCAACAATGCCCCATGGCCTCACAACCAGGGGATGTTGAGCTTCATCCCCAGTTCTACAGGGAGGTCCTGGCTCTGAGGCCAACAGGACAACATCATCAGCAAACAGCATCCATGCAATCCAAAGATCCCCCTGACAAGAAATCATCCACTCCCAAAAACAATTCACCATAAAAGTAATGAACTGAATCAATGATAAATAGCAACCTGGCATAATCCAACACAGACTTGTTAGCAATCCAATCCAAACTCTCTCTTCAGTCATACAGGGACCAAACAGCCTTTAGTACGGGGCTTGTTATTTGAATTTTTCCCAAGTTAAATCAACTATATTATGCAAACATCAAGAATACACAGTGACTCGCTGATATCCAGTAAAGCAGCTCACAATGGAAGAAATAAAACAGTAAAATTGGAAAAAGAAATACAACATCAATGTTTTCCTTATTGTTGGAACAGTGCACCAGTAACTTTGACACCGTTCCAACAGTTTTCTTATCAATCCTCGAGCCAAAGCACACAGATCGCTGCATGGCGGCAAGTTTATCTGTGAGCGCTTCTTTAAGGTTTGGGTTTGCCTGAACAGAGTTCCTTCAGACCTGGATTTGAGACTTTACGGACACTGCAAAGGAAGGCGGGGGGGGGTTTCAAGCAGGTAGAGTGAGGGGCATGAATCGTCCGCAGGTGAGCACAGCGCAACCTGAGCCCAAAAAATACATCTTGATACACTCGTGTCTGCAGGGAAAGTGTTCATTCAAGAGCGTAAAGAAGGATCGGCATGAGATCCAGGAGAAATGAAGCAGGCTGCAACTTGTCAGGAGAATGTATGTGAGAGTAGATCTTCATTGAGCAAAGGGATTAAAAAAAACAGATATATGGGTCCTTAAATGTACCCTAGAGTAAATAACACTGTGCTGAGGCATGTTCAATGGGGAAATGAGCAGTTCTTCTTGAAACTCTCTCTGTGCACCCATCCATCATCATCCTGTCTCACTGCTGCAGCCTCCCAGCCCGGAGACTCCTTCCTAAGTGTGTCTGAGTGGACGGACCAGAACTTTAACTTTCTCTTACTGTTCTAATGACCATTGTGACCTCAGTTGTACACTGAAGACAAGAACAGTGCCTCACTTCTACAGTCTCAGACACCCCCCCCCCCAAAAATGGTAAAGTAAGACGTCTTCTGTTGAGGTGCACATTAGTAATGCACTTCGGTGAATAGCTGCTTCATTGCAATTCATGCTCTGACAACATAAGCAGACAGGTGAGCCTGAACCTTTATGACACGGCATAGCTGCAATTCAATGGGTGCATAATTGCACAAGAATAAGCCACGCTAAGTGCAGCAATGAATACGAACGAGTAAAAAAGACCTGCAAGCTTCTCCAGGGACAGCTGGGAAGTCACTGTGGAATGAAAGAAATCAAGCCTTTTCAATAATCTAGAGCACCTGCAGCTCTGGAGCCACATGTGGCTCTTTGGTCCCGCCACAGCGGCTCTTTCAAGCTTTCACCAAAACTAAGATAAAACTGAATTTTAGAGGATGTTGTAGCAGCAACAAAAATGACTCATTTTAGCAGTTTTCCTGTCAATTCCTTTGCAAATATGTGGATACTAGTACTAATACACAGAGTAAATTATACTCACTTTAACTTTCATGCTTTATTTCTTCAAAGTAGGATTCTTGATTATGCCACAATTAAAAAAATACATAAGCCTGCACAGTTCCTTGTTTTAGTTTTTAAAAATTGGGCAAAATATATACATGCATATATATATATATATATATATATATATTTTTTTTTTTCTTTACAAGAATCCAGTCGGGCATCACGGTGGTGTAACTGGTAGAGCTGCTGCCTCTCAGCGAGCAAGTTACCCTGGTTCAAATCCCAGTCCAGGGGCCTTTCTGGGTGGAGTTTGCATGTTCTCTCTGTGCATGCGTGGGTTTTCTCCGTGTACTTCGGTTTCCTCCCACAGAACAAAAACATGCATGTTAGTCTGATTGGTAACTCTAAATTGTCTCTAGATGTGAGTGAGAAAGAGAGAATGGTTGTTTGTTTCATTTGTCTTTATGTGTCCCTGTGATGGACTGAAGACCTGTCCAGGGTGTCCCCTGACCCTTGCACAGTGATGGAGTGACATGGGCACCAGCAACCCCCGTGACCCAAAATAGAAGAAGTGGGTAAAGATAATGGATGGATGGATGAAGAATCTGGTCTTCTGTGATAGACTTGTGACCTGAATAAGGACACCAGTGACCCCCCTGCAACCCAAAAAGAGAGAAATGGTAAAAGTCAATGGATGCATGGATGGATGAATGGATGATGGATGGATGGGTGATGGATGGATGGATGATAGATGGGTGATGGATGGATGGATGATGGTTGGGTAATGGATGGATGGATGATGGTTGAATGATGGATGGATGGATGATGGTTGAATGAT